CGATATTCTTTCTTCACTTGTGAGAGTCAGCTTTCCATTGTTCTGTCCATTGTCAGACAGCTCTATGGGCCTGGAATTGATAGGGTGCATGGTAAGTGCACCACATTGCATGAGAAGTGTGCCCATTACATTTCTGAGGCAGTATAAAGGATGTTATGGATCAGAATGAAGTCCCATGGAGTATCCATAAACATGATTTAAGCTCCACTAGAAAGTGGTTACTGTATGCTCTGCAGACTCAGGTGACATATATTTGTTCTAGGCAGCAAAATGTTGTCATACTCCTCTCATCACGTGGGAAATCTTTTAACAGTTCACTCAGTTGCCATTGTTCCTCACCAGATGGTTGGACTGTTAACAACAGCCTGTAAAATGAAAATGTAGCAAGACATGGTGGTATGGCCTTCATGGCCATCAGCAGTGAATGCAGTTTTGTCTGTGGAGTGGGACATCCATATTCAGTCTCAGCCACATGATGGCCATCTATTGGCTAGATGATGGCTGCAGCCAGGATGACTGCATCTGCTTTTAGTTTCTAATTAATTGAAGCCATCAATTCGTAAACCCCTCCATATGTCCACTGTGATGAGTCTCTGAATCTTGAGGCACAGGTAACCACAGAAGGAGCTAAGGCATGTTGTTGGTGCCTTCTGGTAAGCTTCATTCACAGAGCCTAGTGATTCCTTAGGCTCTGGCTGGGCCTCATGTTGAATGTACTAATTCCATTTCATGACCAGGCTCTGTTAAGCTTGGCCAGATTTATTGGTAGGGTTTATAAGCATCCAAATAAGAATGGGCAGTTCAGATAGCGGTTACATGTAGCACTCTGGCCTAAAGATGCTCAGCCTTTATCAGAGCACAATAAACAGAATGAGGTGGGGGATTTATCTGATGGTTGCTTCAGTCAACTTACTAGTCCAAAACCTGACGTGTACCTCAGTGGCAATTTTCTGTTGCCACAGACTCCAATTAGCATACATGGAGGTTATGGACTGCATGGAGTTAGAAGGCTCTAAATGTTTTAAAAGCAGTACATGAGCCACAGCTTGTTAAATGACTTATCAGGCTTTCTGCTGCAAAGGGCCCTGTTCAAAGTTAGCAGCTTGTGACTGTGACTAAGGGAGCCAAAAGAACATCCACATTGGGTACATGCTATGTTCAGCACTCAAAAGGCCTTCCAGCTGTTGGCTTCCTCTCTGAGGGGTGCTGTCAAGACCAATATTTGCTTGAGAACATCTGGAATATTTCTTTGGTTTCTTGCCCAAGTGGTCTTAACATTCAGCCTCTGGCAGTATATTCTCATTCTCCATGCCTCGAAGTCCTTTCTGACCAGCCAGACTGGGCTGGTTCATTGTAACATGCTGGTTTGTAACATGTTTATCCGTAGCAGGTTTTGAGTTACCACAGCAGGAGGTGTCCTGTTTTCCACTCTGTATGGTGTCCATCCCAGTGGTACCCACTTTATGAGCTCTCTGGCCCTGGGAAGGAGTGATTCTGTATCCAACAGTCGGCATTGTGTGCCATCCTGTCCTGTTTTCATTCCTTTCTGTCATAATCCATGCAGCCAACCATCTGTGGTGGGGCAGGACCTACTACCCCTCATCACTCCTCTCTGTTCACACATGTTGCATGTTTGGCCCATGTGCCCTCAGACTTGAATCTCCACCCTGGGCAAGGTACTGAGGAATATTGCCCTGCCTACTTCATCAATATGCCGTGGTTTTATCAGCCTGAGACCTGCTCACTGCACGAATTGTTGTGAAGCATATCTGTTGTGAAATAGTTACCAAGCTGAATCCAGTGAGACAGAACACTTGCACACAGTAAATTACACAAAGCAGATGTGTTGCCTGCAGACTGGTAGCAAAGGACAACAGAAGGCTATGATCCATGACAAGCCAGTCTCCTAAAGTTCAGGACGGCCCAGGGCAGATGGGTGTTCCCATTGCATGTGCCATACTTGTACCACAGTTGGAGAGGCTAGAAAGCAGCCTGCTTGGATTTTATACCCAGGGTCACAGGACATGCTGGGGAAAGCCTATTTCAAGGAATGGGAAAGTGACTAGAGTAGCAACTGGGCAGTTCCTATTGGTCCCTTCCTCCACCTTAAAACTGCATTCCTAGCACCATTCTATGGCTCTTTTTGAGAATTACAAATGCAAAAGGTTAAAGTGGGTTGGTCCAAGGTCACGTGAAGAACTGCCCTGCAGAGGCAGATCAAATTACATTTCAGTTGTATTGGGCTGAACTGTAAACTACTTACCTATGTGACAAAGATTCTCTTTGACCAGACTTTAGCCGGACTTCTCTGAGCCCTTTCTCTACTAGGCCTTAACATTTGCCCATAAAGACTCTGAAAACACAAACATTGTTTTTAACAGCTCAAGGTCACATCCTAGGATAAGCCTAGCCACCCCCTCAAACCCCTTGAAGTGCTTGTCTGAGAAAATTCAAGGTTGCTAGAATTTTGTTCCAGCCAACATGTCCTATGTGGACTCCCCCTTCTCACATGACAGTGAGAAACTCGCTTAGGGATAAGAGTCAGTTCACAAACTCAAGATAGATTTCACCTGGACCTACCTTCCCTTCCTCTTTTACTTGCCTGACTGCTGAGCCCCCACTTACCCCTTCCTCCTTCTCCCTTTAAAACATCCAGCTAGTTCAATACAAATCAAAGTTGGGTTCAGTTCATCCTGGATTCTCATCATTGTAATAGTACAATACTGATTAAAATCTATCTTTTGGGGCAGCACCTGTGGCTTAAAGTAGGGTGCTGGCCCCAAGTGCCAGAGGTGGCAGGTTCAAACCCAGTCCTGGCCAAAAACTGCAAAAACAAAACCAAAAAAACCCGTCTTTTCTATTTTAACCAGTAATATGGCTTTGTATTTGACTTACTCTGTATTTGCATAGCTTAGGGTTGAGTTCATCTATCAGATCAGGGGACCCCCTTCCCTAGCTCTCCCTTCTGAGGCTTCTCCCTCACCTTCTAGAAGCTGTGGTTATCCTGACCTCATCCTCCAGCTCTTTGGGCCAGACTACTGCAGTTTTAGTGATCCTACAGCTGTCTCATGATTATAGCTAGCACTTAGGTCAAAGGTGCCAAAACATTAAATTTAGTTTGTGCCTGTCTCCTCTGAATTTCACATCCTATCGAAAATCTTCCTGCTTTTTCTCCAGTTCCCAGAGTTCTTGGGTAGTTGTTTATGGTATTTTGCCCAGAATCTATATTTATTATCTGCAGAGTGTTGGCCTGGGAGATTACACCACCATAGTCTTTGCTGTGCATTTGGTGTTTGCATGCTTGGAATGCCAAAAACAAATCCTCTCTGCAAATTTTTTTTTTTTTTTAGGTTCTTGAATATAATATTCACATTCCTCATACAGGTATATTTCATAAATTTATTTTGTTCAATAAATGCAAATGTTCAAGCTCTCAGTGAGGTAGTATATTGTAAGTTCTAGAGACCAATTGCCAAGACTTGCGTATTGGCTCTGCCACTCACTAACTGTATTATCCCCCTCACCCAAGTTTCCTAACTTCTCTGCTCAATACAGTTTCCTCAATTACATAATGCTGATAATCACAGTACTTATCTCACTGTGTTACTGTGAGGATTAAATGCAAAAGTACACACAAATGAGAATGGTGCCTAAGGCACAGAAAGAGCTTGATAAATGTTAATTAACTCATATTACTGCACAAGTGTGAAATAAATATCTCAGTCACCTTAATGTCTTCTAAGAAAAAAAAACATTACTCACAAAATTTTAATATACGTTTATTTTCAAGGAGCAAGATTATATTAATATATAAGACAAAAATTAGGAAAGCAAGCACACAAACAGAACATTTGCAGCAGAGAGAAGAAAAAAATCAGTAGATATGCAAAATATTCAACCTCACAATTATTTTTTAAAATGCCATCTAAAACAGCAATGAAGTACCACTTTATAGTTACGCAATCAGAAATATTAAAATTAACAGCCAGAAGTGATTAGTCTGTGGTCACATGGTACATTATACTTTACTGGTGACAGTGTGAACAATGTTTTTGGCAAAGTGTTTGCAATACATGTGAATGCCTGTTATCTCTGACACTGGACTTCCTACAACTCAGCATTTATAGCATTTCCCCTCCTACAGTGGATACAACTAATTCCAGATCCAGTTCTTTCCAGTGTGTCTCATGATATCAATTCCTTGGGTATGTTCTTACATCTCAGGTATGAAGAATGAAGGGTGAGAAATGCCAAACTCAGGGCCAAGAAGTATTGAGACAGAACAGAAAACAATGAAGGTCAGGTTAGATCGTGTCAGAGCTTTTGGGAATGAACTTGGAGACAATGTTTTGATGATGTATCTAGAGATACTAACATGGACAGTAGTACACTTATGTGTATGTTAGCTCCAGCTTTCAAGTTTCAAAGGAATTTCAACCCTTGGAACTGAAACACAGAAGACACTGAGAATTATAATCACCATCAAACTTCGGAGTTATTTTGGCAGAACAGATGAATCTATATATTAATTAGGCTCAAGGAAAAACATAAATTTGATTTAGTCTGCTGGCTCCTACAGTCTCACTCACTAATAGGTTGTTATTGATTAGATTATGAAAAGGCTGACAAGAAGCTCTGAAAATATTAGGAGACTTCAGATAAACTTGCAGCACAAGGCACCTCCTCGCAAGCTTCTGTTAAAATATTCATAAGGCTTAAAACAAAAACTTAAGGTTGCAAAGACTAATTAAGAATATAGAAACATGATAATCAAACATTAAAATAAAAAATTTTTCAAGACCTATTTCCCATCTCAGTCTATCAGGGATCTGGAGTTAGAACTAGCTTTAAATAGCTTCTGTGCCTACATAATAGCCTTCTCTGTGTTTCCACTGTTACTTTATACCTCCTTTATAACTCTTCCTTACCTGACTGACTTTATTAGCAACAGAAAACAGATTAAAGTTGCCTTAGAAACTAACCTAATTAAAAGTTGACTATCAGCTATACTTATCCTATAATTTAATTTCATCTGTTTCTTTGTATATTTGCTTTTACATACAGAATTTACCAACCAGGTATCTCAGGATCCCTAATTTATAAAAGACATGCATAAGAGAAATGATCACATGCGTAAAATCACAACCACAGTAACTGGACCATAGTTACATTAATTAAGAGATGAGGAACTGATGTCCATTAATAAGTGATTACATAAAGGAAGAGAAAACATGGGTTAAGTAACAAAATAACATTAATTTTTTTTTTTTACATAAACACATTAGATATTCTAAGTTCTTCAAAGTATCTGTTTAAAAAACAGGCCAAGGTGAAGGAGAAAAACTTGCAGTTTAAGCTTCCAAATATGCTCCTTGGGGTCCTTTTGCCTTGGATTTTGTTTCCTTTGGAATCTTTCCATTTTGACATTGTGTAAATCTGGCTACTGTAGAAACACCATCCACAAACTTGGTTTTGAAAAGAACGTTTGCATTGTTAAACATACCTTCTTTTAGCGACACCACAATGAACTTAAGGGAAAAGAAAAAAAGCATTAAAAAAAGTTTGCAATATTCTCAAAGAAGTTTAATCCTTTATACTGAGGGCAAAAAGTTTTTAAAAATCATTTTGATTTTGTTATCTCTTTAAACAGTTACGATATTAGGAACCTACATAAATGCTAGCTTTCCATGACTTGGTTTTAGATGTCTCTTAATTTCATCTTGAGTGCTTTCTTACTCAGGTTTACTATTTCATGGGGGTTAAGTGCTTTTTGGTCTTTTATATTTACAGCTGGCATTCATTCACTGTTTTGTTGCTGCCTCTAACAGACCTGGTGAAATATTTTTCCTTGTGATATTTTAATAATATCAAAGAAGGTTTCAAATTCCTACAGCACCTACCACTAGCCCAAATGGAACCTCTATATAATTAAGAAGCACCACTTCAATGTTATCTGCCAAAAAACTGCCATAATACATAAATAAATACTTCTTCTCTGATAATTATGACAAGCAGAGCACCCAGAGTTGTACAATGCGTAACTTACACAACCACATTTGGCAGGCCCAGCACCTACAGTCATAGTACAATAACAACAAACTCCTTAGTTTCAGGAGGCTTTTTTCTACTTTTTTTTTAGCCAGGAGAAATTTCTACCCATCAAATGCCCAATGATTGTCTGATACCTGAGCTGTCTCCAAAATAGTTTTGGGTATGAATCTTTAAGGGAACAGCTAGAAAAAACCAGTATTATAAACCTTAAATCAATTCTAGATTTACTCAGTTAGATTCTCCCTCATACTGTGTTTCTAATGCCTGGCTCTTCCTTTAAAGGAGACTGACCCCCTTTTTCCTTTTACACTTACTAGAACATAAGTTTATTTAAACAGATATATAATGTTTTAATATTCTCCAAGCCTAAGTATATTACTACACTGAGACTTTTTTCTGGTTCTTACCTGAGAATGTGTAAAATGAGTACGCAGCATCTGTCCAATATTCTGGGTGTGAGAAAGATCCAAGGCTGCATCTACCTCATCAAGGATATAAATAGGAGCAGGTTTGAAGAGGAGCATGGACAGTATTAATGACAAAGCCACTAAAGACCTAGGAAAAGGTCAGTGGAAGAAAATCCATGAGAATTTGACTTTACCACTTTATCAAAACACTGAAACAAACCCGTGATGCTGTTACTATGGTGAACAATGCAGATTTATCGGAAAAGATAGTCTTATAAGAAGAAATCTTAAGTGTTAAATCAGCACTTTTGTTGAATTAAAATTTTTCTTTTATTTTAGCTTTCTGTTTTTCTTCCCTTTATAAGCACAGTGTTTAAGACAATTTAAATATTGCCATTTTGTGTTAACTCATGTTAGTTTTAATAGTTTTGTTTTTCCTTCCCAATCACTTATAGAGCCCAGGCAGAAGGTGAGTGAGGGCTATGCATTTATTTAAGATTACAGCTCTTGTCTTGGTAACTATAAGTAGTTTAGATGTCCTCTTTGAAACTATTATGTATGCACCCACATACACACAGACAACATAAGCATAGACACACCATTTGCCAGTAAGTTGCATAAGACTATGGCCATTATCCTAAGTATTTTATAGTGCCAGAAGTTCAAATAATCCTTACATAAAATTTATAGATATACCTACTCAAAAATTCTATAGTGCTATTTTTAGTTCTCTTCCAGCTCACCATTCCTTTTAACTGCAGCTGTTTTCGTTCTAATCTGGCATGAAGAGTCACAATAATCCTGATAATACTTTGTCTTAAGAAATATATTTATAAAAAATCCTTGTTTCTTTTAATACAAAATACTTATAATTACTTAACATTAGAATAAGAATTATAATAATCATTATTCTATAACCGAATACCTCCTGGCTTGTAGCACTAGAATAGCCAATCCCCTTCTTACTGCATTCCAACAGGGGATCAATTAAGAAACAAACACCTAAGTAGAAAAAATATGTGCAAAAGTGGAAGAAAACCAAAATTCTAGAAAAGGAAAGGAATGAAACAGTATAAAAAACAAAGCATAGGAAGACTGATATTTACCTCTCTAGAAGGAAGCTAAGGTCATTTAATCAAGCTAAAATTAATTTTTTTGGCTTTCTTTGTGCCAGATAAAGCATTCACTTTTGAACTTCATCTTTAAAAAAATATATTTCAAAGTAAGAGTTTAACTGTTATGCCGGGCAGTAGTATATCCAAAAATAATTTTATAGCATCTTATTTAGGGAAATAATTTGTAGGACCCCAATAAGAAGAGAAGTAAGTATTTCCTATTTTCCTCAAAACATTTTCTAAGCCTTTGGTAAAATTAGTTTAAGATATTGTGATGTAAACTATAGAATTCAATTTTGATTAACAGGCAGCAGGAGCCATCTTTCAGGAATTTTTTCAACGATGAAAAATAGAAGTACAAATATATTCTCCTCATAAGAGTTCATAAGAAAAATTAATGTTTCAATATTTTTTACATACATAAAAAACAGGACACAGAAAAACAATTCAAGGCTTATAGATTACATATCCTTCAGGAGAAAAAGCAAATACTAAATTAATAACCAATTTCTATTATGTGGAAATTCACAATTTTCTTATAGGAGGTTTTAATTACTTGGGTATCTGCAGGTTTGGTGTTAGGACACATGACCTTTCAGTTTCTATCACTATGCTGACTTTCTGAATCACTATGTAAGACTGGGAGAAACTTCCCCAAATTCTAGATCAACATTTTCTCTGGCACTTCTCATTCCTTTATGTGGATGCAAGGTTCCCTCTGGTATTATTTTCCTTTTGCCTGAGGACTTCCTTTACCCTGTAGTATGGTTCTGCTAGATCAATTTTTTCAGCTTTTGTTTATCTGAAAATGCATTCACATTGCTTTGATTTGAAGAATATTTAGGTTGTAAGTTGACATGTTTTTCTTTCAACACTTTATGGCTGTCCTAGACTTTTGGCTTGTATAGTTTTGACAAGAGTATGAAGTTGCTCTTATCTTTATTCACTGGCATATAATATGCCTGTTTTCCTTTGGCTGCTTTTAAGATTTTTCTCCCAATCAGTGTTTTTTAGCAAATTTATGTGCTATGTCCTGCTTTTTTAAAAAAATTAAGTTTATTCTTTTAACGACAAGTTCTGGTTATCATGCAGGCTAGAGTCCTGTGACACAATCATAGCTCACTACAGACTTGACTTCCTGGGCCCAGCAGATCCTCCTGCCTTAGCCAGTGTTCATCCTACCTCAGGCTCATCCCTGTCATTTCTGAGTATGTTTCTACTGACTGATTTTTCTCTCAGTTAATGTCACATTCTATTGCTTTTTGTCTTATGATTTTTATTAGATGCTGGGCATTGTGATGATTATGTTGTTTTAGTATCTCTGTTTCTTTTATCTTCCTTTAAAGAGCACTGGATAAATAGTTAAGTTTCACCACCAGATAAATAGTTCTGATACACAGTTAAGTTACAAGTAGACCAGCTTGATCCTTTCCAGGTCTGTTGCTAAGTTTCGTAGGCAGAGTCTAGTAACTTTCACTTTCAGGGACCGACAGACCTACTGCCAATGTGTAGTTATCTAGGGCCTCACAGCATTCTAATAATCTCTGTCTTTTTAACTCAGACTACTGAGCTGTTTGGGTTCCTTTCTCTGCATCTGAAATCTGGCAATTGCTACCAGAAAGCAAGCCAGGGTGAACACAGGGCTCAGCACTTCTGCAGCCTCTTTTGGGTATCACAGTCCTGTGCTACTCATTTCCCAATATTTGAAAATAGTTATTTTTCATTTATTTTCTCTATTTTTTTTAGTTTCTTACTCTTACTTATCTTGTCACCTACTATTTAAATCCAATGTTCCAATCAAAATTTTTAGTTCTGCATATTAGGCTCCTTGAATTCTACATGCAAAAGAGCTAAGAAAATCAAAACATAAAAGTGAGAAGGAATAGGGTGATGATTATAATAAAGTAAGAGCAATGAGAAATTATAATATTGCAAAGGGATTACTCACCTCTGACCACCACTAAGTTCAGTTAGGTTTTCTTTCCAGGTATTTCCTAAGGCAACCCTAAACTCCAGACCATCCAACACAGTTTGCCCTTCTGGTGGTGCAAGCATGGCATTAGCACCAGGTAAAAGAGTAGAAAAAATAGACCCAAAGTCCTTGTTCACCTGATTAAAAAAAAAAAAGAAAGAAAATCCACAACTTAACATATCAGAATACTTTCCAAGAAGAATCAGCTGTTGACATATGTACCTGCAATTCAGCAGGTCCATTCTGTTGTGTGTGACTCTAACTCAGAGGCTGGCAAACTATGGCACTTTTAACCAATCTCGCCATGCCCATTCCTTTACAAATTACGTATGGGTGCCTACAAAAGAATGAAGTAGTTGCAACGGAGACTGAGCGGCTAACAAACCAAGTAACATTTACTACCTGGGCCCTTAAAAGACAGTTTACTGAGCCCTGCTTTAATTTCCAAGGGGAACTAGAAGTTACACCTCTAACTCTACTCCAAAGTTTAGATGCTTTTTTAGAACATATTGCAGGAATCCTTAAGACACATACAACTGTAGCATATAGGAGAAGAAAACCAGAGCATTTGGAGAGGCAAACATGAAACTGAAATTCTTTTTGGAATACAATGTTCTCTTATAAAACTTTCCCCCCAGTTACTGATAGGGTAATGTAAGCCTTTACTAGCTAAAGCCTAATTAGAACATGGTGAGGTCCAAGAGGAAAGGAGGTATCAAATTAAAGAACTAGACAGGGATGTCTCCAACAGTGGCTTGCATGTGGATCATGTGAGGACTTTTCTGCTTATTGTGGTGGGGGATGGCATGAAAATTATGCACAGACCTTTCTTTTTGGCTTATCAGCTTTTGCCAGTATTTGTGTATTTAACATGTGGCCTAAAATAACTCTTCTTCCAGTGTGTGACACAGAAGAAAGAAGACTGAACACCCCTGGATGTGTTCAAGTGTTCTTTTCTACATACTTTATTTCCTAACCCAAAAGGTTAAGGTGTTGAGGGCAAAGAACAGGAGTGGGTCTCCCAAGAGAATAGGACACTGTGTGACCTGCCCTTTCTCCCCACAGGAGAAGACTACCCAGGGATTTAGGGCCCACATGCTCACTCGTAATAGTGTGATTTTTGTGCATACACACTTATGTTTGGGAATCTGGCCATCTCTGTTCAAAAACATGATCTTAGTTCTATAGTCAAATTTGAAAGTGTAATACACAGGGTCTAACAGTCATGTTTTCTACGGCAATCTCCAAATTCAAGTGTAGGTATACTGAATTCAAATGTAATTATACTTTGTAATAAATACTTATAACAAGGAAATCTCCTAGACACAGAGGTGCTCCTGAATACAGATTTACTAAGGAACACACATTTTAAAAGCAATTACACACCTGCTAAGTAATATCCTACAAAGAAGAAGTAGGTTCTGGTTTTATCTAGGTTAGATTTCCAGAGTTAGGCAATGGTCATCACAAGATGTAGAGAGAACCACTGTCTTTGGAGGGGATGATGGAAGGTAGGATAAGTTCTTTTTCTTTTCCTGTTAGGTCATGTGGAGGAGAGGCAGGTCAGGACTAAGAGAGTAGAATGCTACTAAACCCTGAATACAGCCATGAACTTTACATGAAAATCTTTCCAAAAGATGAAAAAAGAAACACATCAAGTTAGTGGGCAGAGAAGAAGACTGATATAACAATGCAATAAAACAGAAACTGTGCAAGTATGAAAACAAAAAACAACAGAAAATGCCTATAATAATCTGGCTGTTTTCAGTCAAGTATGCGTGGAGCAGAGGAAGACTATAATGCTGACAGTACCTACCTTATTAGCACGTTATGGGGAATGGATGAGAAAATTAATTTGAAAACAGCAACTGACATAAGAGGAAGAGCAGGGTCAGTTCAAAAAACCGATTCTGATTTGTACTAAATCTAGAAATCACAGTGAAAAAGGGAAACAAAACCTCTTAGATCTAGTGTTAAATGGACATGTCACACAAGAATAATGGGGCCAACTTTTTACATGCATCTTTTTTAAAAAACAGAAACATTACAGGGAAATGAAACACTAAATATAAGTCTAAGCACAGGAAAAACAAGATAACTGAAAGTAATAACTGTGTTGTTATTACTAAAAATAAAGTTCCTGCAGAATCACAAGGAGAAAAAAGAGGCAAGGTTGGAGGGCGCCAGCCCCCACACAACCTGTGAGTATCTCCAGTGTTTGACAGTGACGAAGGAATGAAAAAAATAAAACCAGAAACAGAGTAGAATTTATAGAGTGAGCTTGGTGGTGGGGGAAGAGATAGTGACAGCCCCAAAGTCTGATGTACTTGGGTTTTTTGTTTTTTGGGTTTTTTTTTGGGCCAGGGCTGGGTTTGAACTTGCAACCTCTGGCATATGGTGCCGGCGCCCTACTCCTTTGAGCCACAGGCACCGCCCTTGCACTTGGTTTTTATTACTTCTCTTGATTAGCAAATGGGTTTTTGTACCAACAACAATATATGGCATTTTTGTGGTTTCTCATGTCCTAATTTTCCATTATCCACCTGATTACCCTTTAGCTATTTTCATTACTTTTACTTCTTAAAATACTTGTCAATCACTCACAGGATTATAGAAAATAAAGGAAAAGGGAGCACAGACTTTGGAGCTAGACGTCACCCAGTTAATCTTCTGTGTTTCTCTGGGGCAATTAGTTGATACCCTACTTGTATCAGGAGTGGGGTAAAAAAAAGTTGAATCTTTTTATCTCACACCCACAAGAACTAGTCTTTCTTGCTCAATGAGTCAATTATATGTGCTGCCTTAATTAATTTTAAAATGGCTTTTCTAGCCCTTTCAGGCCCCAGCCAAGCCCTTACAGACCCTTTTGGGGGGTCCTTTTTGGCTTCAACCAGGCCTTTGTAGGCCTTTTTCATGAAGTCGTGTGACGTTCAAGTCAAGTTGTCTCATTAAACCCCCAGTATAGTATGTTCTCTGTGGAGGTTCATGTCCTCTCCCATTATTCTGCATACGTGACCCTGATCACAGAACTTTGTGTATAATCATTTCACTATTTTCATAATCTTAACTTCCCTAATGCTCACCCACATACAAGGTGCCCAGCGGAATCTCAGATGCACAGGTGTGCTAAAGTATCCAACAGCACAGGAACTATGTTTGGAATTTTTTAAGCAAGAGTCTTCTGTGATAGGAAAAATGATAAACATTCACAGAAGAGACTAAGGAATTATCCCAGAGAAGACAGATTATACGAAGCCAGAGAAGTAAAAGAGAATACTAAACTCCCTTTCTTACTGTCCAGTTCCTGAAGAGCTACAAGGTGACTGCATCCAGCAGTAGTCAAGTCTAAAAAGACAAACTGCATTTAGAGTCTGAGGATTTAATTCCAGTGTGATCAAGTGCCTCATTCAAACTATTGCAACTATTTCAAATTTTTTATAAATTCAATGACCATGTTTTTTTTTCATCCTTGCCTCCTCATAAAAGATGTACCTTTTGCCAGGCAATATTTAGGGCTTGGTTTTTCTTCTGGTCAAGGTCCTCTATAGTTGTAAGAATTTTAGCTTTGTCATTTTCAACAATTCTCTTTTTCTTCATCAAGTCATTGTACTGTGAGATAAAAAGCAGTTAATTAGGAAAATATAAAATTTCTTCTATGTTTTAAAATTCAGGAATAAAGAGGTTTTACTCTTTTAATATGTAATACATGCTATCCTATTTACCAAAAAGATACAATGTACTAAAATCAAATTATGAGTAAAATCATCCACATGTACATGATAAACTTCCATTACTAGAATTGAGAATTTATAGTACAGACCCTTAAAACATTTTGATTTCACAATATTCCCTTATCTCTCAGGCAACCAAGGCCAAAAAAGGATCAAATACAAACTCAAGTAAAAGTAGCTCTGAATGTTCTCTTAAATGTCAGTTGTGGCAGTAAAATGCATACAATTTCAATTCTTTACTGTGATGTATGGGTACTACATAAGTTGGGCCTTTTATCCCTTTCCTTCATGGAGTCAGACTCCTCCCCTGTTCTGGTCACAAAGTCTTTTCAGTTGTTTGAACATTAATTAACTCATTATGGTTTTACAGCCACTGCACTGTTCTCTCTTCCTGGAATGCTCTTTCTCCACACCAACACAACTAGTCCCTCAAATTCCAGTTTACACATTTATCTCTTCAGAGTAGCCTTTCTGTAGAGGAAGAATTATACTGTGAATGGCTATGGACCTTTCTAAAACTCTCCTAACTCACTTCTCTTCAAAGCCTCCCAATTTAAGGAGGCTTCATAATTTCCCTTAACAACTCCAGCCAGTCCTGCTGTCTGTCCTGCTGTCCCTCTCCTTTATCACCAAGCTCCCCAAACCTTTTCTCTGTATCTTTATTCTTTTACAAGTCCATGTGATTTCTTATGCAGAGACACACGAAACATGCAAACAAAACAAAAGGCCATCTGATGATCAACAATAGAGCCTTCTCTTGTAAGAACCTGCCATTGATAAATGTTTTGAAAAAAAAAAAGACTGAATTCTTATTATGTAATAAAAGTAAACAAGTAAAAGTGAAACGCATTTCACCACTTTCTATAACTCAAATTCGGAGCAAAGATTTCCTTCCACAAATATAGAACATACTACAAAACTTTAATGTGAAAGTGAAAAACCAGAGGGAGTGTTTTAGAGAACAATCACAACACCTACATTATTCACTTGTTTGATATCTAATATAATTTAGATTCTTGGTGCATAGTAACATCAGTAATAGTTTTTAAAATTTCTTGAAATTAATTGCACTCATGGCATTATCTATCTTGTAGTTTTCTTTTTAATTCTACTTTAAGTCTAATATACAAATTCAAACAGAATTAAAGGAGGTCCAGAACATTAATATAAAATTATTAAGATTGTATTTTTCTATGGGGCCATCATGGAAGGGACTGCTTCCTTCACTAGGTTTTTCTAGTGACAAGGCCTCCCAAGTTCATTACTAGATGACATACAATTCCCTTCTCGGATCTTAGACGATGTCAGGGTATGGGAGACTGATAGTTTATCTAGCAATTGAGAGCATTAAAACCATAAGATGCTGCTGGATTTACAGATTAGTGAAACAGTGGTTGTGTACAGAAGGATTCTAGTCATTGCTGACGTAATGGTTTCTGTATACACTAGAGTCAAAGGGAAGACAGCAGTTATGAAGTGGCTGCTGAGAAAGTGGATAGCAGCATATGCTATTTTCCAAAGCTTTTCAGGGCAAGTGAAAGGAATAACAGAAATACGGAGAACTGACAGGATCCAAAGTGCTGTTGTTTATTTATGTCAAGAATAAGAAAAGAGTAAAACATGTTAATGGCATAGCAAAATCCAGTAGAAAACTCATTAATAGTATATAATAGAATATAGAAATTGATGATGCGAAAAGAATGAAATAAAAAAATGAAGAAAAGGGAGAAAAAGGAAAGCAGAAAGTAAACAAGTATCAAGGACATCTAGCAAAAAGTTAACTCTAATAATTGCATCAGAAATCATAGAGCACTGTGAATGCCAGTCAGGGTGAACGGGGCCAGTTGTTCACAGGAAAGTGACTTACTCGCTCTTCAGCTTCTGTCAGTACATTCATAGCTCTCATATTGACATTTCTTCCCAACTTCTCCTTCATTTCCTGCAACTTCTGAAGTCTCTGACCAGCTTCTTTTGGGTTGTTAGTTTTGAAATCATAGGCAGTATTGGGTTGGCCAAAGAGGTGTCTCTCTGCATTAATCCAGTCATAATCTTTCAACATTTTGGACACCTAGTCACATATAAAAATAAAAAGAGCTATGATTGTTCACAAACTAACATTGATAAATCAGTTTCATAAATACTTACTAATTTTAATTCAAATACTAGGAGAGAATCTCTTAATGACTCTTCAACAAAATGAGGTTCACTACTGACAGGACTAAGGGTAAGTATTTTTACTTGGAGCACAGACTACAGAAACCAGAGAGTGGAGAGCAAAACATCGTCCTATTACTGAAGCATCAGAAGAGAGCTAACTTAAAGAGACATTTCTACAGGGTATTTGTAAAACATTTCCGTTAGAATGAAATGTAAGTCAGATGGGGCTCCTTCAGATTCTACCAAATTCTATCTATTGCTTCAAAAAGCAACTGGTGAGAAGTCAAAATTCTTATACTTAAGTTACAGATTTGGCAAAATGGGAACCTAATCCAGACTGGTATCTAATAATTATCTCTAAGAATTATAACATAACAAAACAAACTGCTCTAAACATTATCTCTCTCTCTGCTCCCACTCACTCTGACAGTGACACAATTTAATACTTCTTCATATAACTGATTATAAAATTCAAATTATAATGCTTAAAGAAGACTTTCTTCTACTAGAATTATTTAAGGTTCATTATAACTGGTAGACTCTAATCCTTGTCAATTTGTTTATTCTTTTTGAGTCCAGGGGTATGGTCCCACCTCTAGGCCCCCACGTGAAATCCTCATCTGTCCTCTCTCTTAAACTATTAGCAGTAACACTGGCATTGGTAGTGTCTCAGTGAATCCACTGACAGTAAGCTACTAGGCTAATGGGAAATCAATAGCAACAAAATAAAGTCAGAAATTATAATGTAGCCATAAAAAAAGTTCTTTAAACCAAGTTTTGTGGTTTTTTACAGAGTGTGGGAAGACCGTCTTGTATATTCTTCATCTTTCTGTAAAGTTAGTATATTTTTATGATGCTAAAAAGGAATGTGGGCATTCAAAAGGCTAGTTCCAAAAGTTATACACTCATAAGAAAACGCTAAGGATGAACTAACACCACGTGAATGTAGCCTCTCAAACAAGCAATGAAAATCTACAAAAGCAAGGCAGGGAGATACATGAAAAGGAGAAATATTAAGAGTGGCCAAAAGCAGTGGGATAACTTCAAAAATGTAACTGCTTGGCCAAAGCTTTTTCCTTTCTAAAACGTATATACATTTTTGTGGCACCCTCTATATATTTCTGTAAGTTATTTAAACTCAATTTGAAATAAAGTAATGAAAATAAATTATTATTACTAATACACTAGTAATTAGTCCTATCAAGATTTAGGGGTAAAAAATCCCCGTTATTCCCATGGGAGACTACCAGGCATTTGGCAAATATATGTAGGTGGGAACAAATATTTGAAATTAAATTTAAAAATTAAACATGCCATTTGTTGAAAATAAGCATTTTCATTATAATAAATAAGTTCACTCTCGACTGCACTGTTGAGAAGCAGTTAACATGTGAGACGGTAGTTCTGCCATTAATACTGAGCTCGTTCCATCAAGCAGTTTACTAAAATGTTCTAGCAGCCCAGACACAAAAACCTGATTCTAAGGATAACCAGGAACACGAACGTGCCTTTGCAGCGCCATCTTCAGCTTCCCGTCTGTGTTTGCTGATGTTGTGGTCTAATTCCTTAATTTTAAGCTGAGATTCATTGTTCTGCTCCTTGTGCTTTGCCACTTCTGCATATTTAGCTTTAATTACACTGTCTTGGGCTGTTATCACTTCTTTTTGCTTGGTCACCTCTTCTTGAGCTTTACTTACTAACTCCTGAAACAAAAAAAATTACAAGACATTACATAGGTAAGTAAAATATAAATGTCTTTACAATGTCTTTAGTTTACGAAACAATTGTCTGAAAAAAAAAAAAAAAGTTGCCTGAGAAACTTCCAGATAAAAAGGCACTTGATTATAGGCAAATGGTCAACTAACCCTCTACACTTTCTATCACTATTAAAAGGACTAATGAGGCAGTGCCTGTAGCTCAGTGGGTAGGGTGCCAGCCAAATACATGGGGTTGGTGGGTTCAAACCCAACCCAGGCCAGCTAAACAACAATTGACAACAGCATCAAAAAAACAGCCGGGTGTTGTGGCGGGCACCTGTAATCCCAGGTACTTGGGAGGCTGAGGCAAGAGAATCACCTAAGCCTAAGAGTTTGAGATTGCTGCGAGTTGTGATGCCACAGCACTCTACTGAGGTGTAGTGAGACTCTGTCTCAAAAAAAAAAAAAGACTAATGAATTACTACTAGAAAAAAGGGGTTGAAATACAATGGTCATGCTGAAAATAAGAGTTTCTACTAAATGCAGCTTTCGATGAGATCAACATTGTTGACAGGAAGAGGAACCACTGAAAATTGACTTATGAGATTGCTCAGAAAAGTGACAAATCTGGATCAGGAATCACTATTTTTGCCTCATGCTAATATCATGACAAGAATAAAAAGATTAAGAACACTAAAGTCAAACATCTTACACTAACATTTCATAAGTTAGCATTTTCAGTTTCTCCAATTTGATAAAGAAATCTTACCTTATTTTTAGCCACTTCAGCTGCCATCACTTCAATCTGACCTTCATAGGATTTGATAGCTTCATTTACAGCTTCAAGCTGTTGTTTATTGGATGCATGCTCTCTCTTGAGCTCTTCAAGCTCCAGTGTGATAGCTTCGACTTCCTATAAAAAACATAGTATTGCGGCATTCACGCAGGTTATAAACTACTAAAAAATAAACACAGAGTAACTAAATTCATAATACTCTCATGCAACAGCTTAGTTACCACTCCACTACCAAAAGTACATGTTACTCTTCTCCGGAAGAAGGGGAAAGAAGTTTATTTTCCTATTTTAAAAAGAAAAAATGATGATAAATGTATATATAATTTTGTTTGTTTGTTTGTTTTTAAGAGACAGGAGTGTCACTTTATTGCCCTCGGTAGAGTGCTACAGTGTCACAGCTCACAGCAATCTCCAACTCCTGGGCTTAAGTGATTCTCTAGCCTCAGCCTCCTGAGTAGCTGGGACTACAGGCACCCACCACAACGGCCAGCTATTTTTTTGTTGAACCCGCCATTTTTATGGGTTCAAAGATCTCTGCATAAATTATTTCCTTTATTCTTTTGTTTCTATAGGGAAAATATAAAATTCCATGTAACAGATGAATTGGTATAGATAACAGTTTCTTTAAATAAAATTATTCAATGCGCAAAAAAGTTGAAGTTTCTCAATTTTCTTCTTTCTCATTGTAAGTTAATTAGAAAATACTTTATGCAGCTATTTAATGATAGAATGTTAAGGCAACTTAAAAAAAAACAGGAAGAAAATATATTTAGTGGAATTGCAAAGAATAGCAACTAAGAGCATAGCCTTTAGAGACAAACCCTGTTTTCAAATTCCAGATTTGATACTATCTTTATATATCTAATAAGATATATTAAGGTATCACCAATCTACAACTGACTAGCTCTTATAGTCATAGGGGGTTACCAAATAGAAACATCGACTTGTTGAACCTGTTATATGAAAACTCCATAATATTATATAATCCACTCCTGATGGAAAGTTGTCCAGTCCTGAGGAACACATTCATTTACCAAAAGGCAACTTTGCTCTTTCCCTAAAATTAGCAAGCCAGTATATCTCATACTCACAATGATGTGACAATTATAGGGCTTTCAGAGAAATATACAAATTGAGTATCCCTTATCAAAAATAGTTGGGAATAGAACTATTTTGGATTTTCAAGATTTTAGGATTTTGAAACATTTACATTATAATGACTGGATGAGCATCTCAAATTCAAACCAATGAGCATTTCTTTTGAGTGTCATGTTAATGCTCAAAAAGTTTTAGATTTTGCAGCATTTTGAATTTGAGAGACTCATCCTATAAATTTGATTTGTAAGATGCATAATTTGTTAAAGAACATAGCTCACATTTAGATTCTGGGATCAATTCTGATGAATAAGGCCAATCAATGAGGCTCTGCCTTAGGCTCTATGTTGACTTTAAAAGAGTGGTTCCAATTCAAGAAAGGGTATTACCTGTTGTTTTTCTTTCATTTTCTTACTAGATGCATCTGCCTTTGTTTTGGCACAATCCAGTTTTTTCTGAGCATCTTTCAGCTCTCTCTCTCTTTCAGCTTCTGCATTTTTCATTTTATTCTCCAATACTTCATATTTTTCTTCTGCTTTTTTTTGAATTTCCTTAGTATTTTTTAAAGTCTCCTCGCTTTCCTCTAGATCATAAAGTGGGCAAATGTGGCTAAATTAACAGTTATAGATAAGGACTTAGAGTCATACTTGAATTACCTAAGATCTATAAAGAATAATTTCTATTAATATAAAAGTGAATAATATAAACTTTATCCTTCTCTCAAAACGTTTTGAAGCAACATATTAAAAAGATCACACCTGGCATTCTTAACATACCTATGTTCTTTCTAAAATCATAACTGACAGTATAACCATGGTATTTTTTCTTAATCTTAATTGCCAGAAAGCTTAAAGTCAATTTCACAAACAAGCTTATTTTACATTCTTTGTTCTTTACACATATTCAAGAAATCTCTCATTAAAGTAAGTCAATAATGTGAGAACATGTCTCGTATAAAGAAAAAATCATTACCCCCAAATTTATGAAAGAAATGAAAGAGCAAAACAGATTAAACATGTTGTAGTCACAAATGACACACATTGTGAGTTTGAGGACCTAGTTAGAAGTAATCACTTTCCCAAATTACTTTTTGCTGTAGAATTAAAATATAAGTAGGGAAAAAGGTACATAAATATTGTCCTAAGGAAAGACAAAACAAAAACTACTATACAGAATTAAACCTGAGGAAAGAAAAAATTATTAGATAGCTTCTTAAAATTAGGGAGATAGCAATAAAGTAGATTACATTAAACATTAAAAATTTTTGTGTGACAAAAAAACTAAGAACAAAAAATTAAAAGACAAGCACACAAATCCAAAAAGTTATTTTGCAATGCATATTGCATTATAAGATCTGTAAGATCTTAGTAAGAAGATCTGTAAGATCTGTAAGATCCTGTAAGAATTTGGAACTCACAACTATGAGAACAGGAAAGGGAAAAAAAAAAAAAAAAACAAGAATAACACATGGCAAAGAAATAAGTAGAAAATTCACGGAAGTACAAACTCAAAAATCCAATGAACACATAAGAAAGACCACAAATTTTACTAACATTCAGGGAAATGCAAATTAAAATGCTAATCCACTATCTCTTCACAACCAACAGACTGGAGATTTAAAGTCTAGAAAGAAAAAATTTGGAAAATTGAAAATTTTCATGTGCCATGGGTAGAAATGAATATTGGTAAAAAAAAAAAAAAAGACAAAACTCTGGTGATCCATAATAAAAATGAAGATGACCCGATATCCTTAGACCCATAAATCCCAGACTTGGATCTGCCCTAAAGCAGTACTGTGCTAAGAAGAGTCATCTAAACACCTAAAGTGAGGTAAAAGGTATTCATAGAAACAGAAATCACACACAGAATGTTTCATCTTACCAATGGTTTTTTTAAGGGCATCTAATTCTTCTTGTTGCTTATGATATGAGCTTTGTTGGAGCTTGGTTTGTAACAAATCTGCCTCCTCAGTTTTCATCTCCCACTGTTGTTTTAGTTTGCGATACCTTACAAAAAGAGAAGTATATAATAAGTGCCTGTAATTTTTCTGGTGTTTGACACATAATTCAAACTTCAGGCTCTTACATAAAGTTATATACAATAAAAACAATGTAAGATGCTACGTGTTACAAGAATAGTTTGATGCTGTTTAATTTCCTAAGGCATCAATTACTAAAAATTCAAAATTCTGATTTGGTCACTGAAGGTAACAGCTCTAAACAACCAAAATCAATAATAACTATTTATGAAAACAGTTACATTTAGAAAACACTAAAAATAATTCTAAGTTTCCTTAAAATAATCCCTTCTGCTAAACTATGTAAAATTAAAAAAACTTGAAAAACAACTACTTACTATAAAAATAAATTACAATAATTATACAAAATTTAAAAAATTGAGCTACTTATTAATACCCAATTTCAAATGTTACTTTCGGTAATGAGATTGACAGCTTAGGAAGACTTAATATTGAACTAAATCATCTGCAAAACACTGTCTTGAAATCCTTGTAATTCTATCCCACTCATAGCTGTTGAGACATTTCTTTGAAAAGTACGTAGCTAATTCAGCTACAGTGAAATTTCAAGTTAATATAAATTCACAAAGCACTTTGTCACTAGAAATCAATGAGGTTTGGGGGGAAAAAATGACAAAATTCATAAAATATAATAAATGCTACTTTGAGTATTACTGCCTAAAACTGTGCTTGATAGTATAAAGCAGTAATTTTGAGTTCAAGATATTTAAAAATGTGAACGGTAGAAATTCTGCAGGAAAAAAGAGATAGCATACACATTATTTTCCTAATATGGAGTGCAATAATGACTTTACCTGATCCTTCTGCTCTCACATTTTTAAAAATCTATTTCTCTTCCTTCACCTCAGTGCCACGATTAGCCAACAAACCCACTCTGCAGAATAAATGATCTAATGCTAAAACTAGTGGCCACTACTCTAGCAAGATGATACTTTTATAGCTAAAGCCAAACCTAGCTATAAATGCATCATCTTGCTAGAGTTTTTAGATATCACAGGAAAGTTTTACTGTAAACTTCTAAGAATTAAAGGCTACTCAATGGTTAATTTATACTAATAAAGGAAAATGTAAGCTTTGCATGTTATGTGATATTTGAAAGTGAGCATTTTCATACATTTTATGTCTTTGAATGGCCACTTTGACTGATTATGAAAATCTTTTACATATACGGTCTCCCAAAAGTCTTGGTGCTATTTACTTTTGGAAGTTGAATTCTAAAAACTGACCGTCCCCCCAAATCATTTCAAAATTTATTTAGACTTTTTATACTTGATTCAGTATTGTGAATTCTAAATAAAATTTTTATCAGTTCCTATTTGCCATCCTAAGAGGGACTAGAAAAAATTACAGTTAGACTTTCAAATAATGCACATTTTAAAACTGTAGTACTCCATAAGCTTTTAAAGCAAGTGGGGTCTCTCCTCCCAGATAACCATAGGGTCACTCACATCTTCCCAGTGTTTACTGCATAGCATGTTCTCAGGCTTTTCTTGACTGCTCTAAAATTTCAACATGTCCTGCCCTAGATATTTCATATCTCCTTTCCTGATTTACTTTTTTCTTTTCAGAACTATTCTAACAAATGTTCTACCAATTTATGTTTATTATCTATTTCCCCAACTATATGAGAACTGGATAAAGGCAGAGATACTATCTGTTTGATTCACTGTCACCCCCAGCTCCTAGAGAAGTAATTAGTAGCACATTAGAGGCATTCGATGAATATTTATTAAGTAATGTTGAGTGAGGGAAAAAAATTTGCCTTAAGTAGCAGAACCCCAATTTTGAAAACTTAAAATATGCATATGTTTCTATTATACAGAAACAGAAGTAGTGACAAAAAAGTATACAAACAAAACTATAACTACACCCACATAGAAGAAACTCTGTAAGGAAATAAACAGTACAGACAATTGATCAATGCTATACTGTGTCATATAATTTCTAATCAAAAAATATCCTCTGGTATCCAGAGTCCAGAGAATCTAAAAATCGCCCACCGATGCCAATAGAATGTTAGTATGTACCGCAATTAAGAGTAAAATATCTGACTGAATTGTTTTCCTTTTGATTAAAAACGATTTCATTAGTTTCTTATAACAGACATTACTCTTATCAGAAAAAAGTGAATAATGTAAGTTATCAACTCATAATCTATTCAAATATTTTAAATAAAACCAAGGATACTACATTAAAAAAAGTCAGAAGTTATATTTCTTTACATGAAAGTAAATGCTCTGTCATTATCTACCATGGGAATCTTCAATCAAAAAAATGTAGCTTAATCCAAAAGAAGTCTTACTTTTCGGCAGTGTTTTTAAGACCTGCTAATTCCTCCTCTAAAGCCTGTAGATCATTCTCTTTGATTCTTAGCTCATCTTGAACAGCTTTGAGTTCTTGAAATTTAGTTAAAATAGAAGCCGCCTGGGATCGAGCACCTGATAGAGGCAAATTGAAACAAGGCTTGCACGTTAAGTTACCACATACACATTAAACAATAAAAAGTCAAATGATTCAATAGCAAATCTCACAGTAAGCTTATGAAACTACAGAATTCATTATATCCTTGACCTTTATGACATACAGAATTGATAAGTAATACATCTGCTGTATTTGCCATGTAGAATAAGAACCTATGTTTTTGGCCCAAACTTGCAGGAACAAACTCTTTACTTTTAATTTTTTAATTCAAATTGTTATTTGTTTATATTTATTTGTTTTTTGTATTATAAAGGAATTATTGCATTTGTTTTTTAACATACTATAGTACATGAAATTTTATGTAACAAATAATTACAAAACACAAGAACTGATACAAAGGACAAGAAACTTTATGTACTGGTAACAAATTTATCATATATACACATCATAGAAGGCCAGGAACTCTTCACCACTATTAATATAAGAAGTACCAAGCTGGACACAGTGGCTCATGTCTGTAATCCTGGCCCTCTGGGAGGCCGAGGCAGGTGGACTGCTTGAGCTCAAGGAGTTCAAGACCAGCCTGAGCAAGGGCAAAAATTCTCTTAAACAAACAAACAAAACAAAAAATAGCTGGGCGTTTTGGCCAGTGCATGTCCCAGCTACTAGAGAGGCTGAGGCACTCTACCAAGGGCGTCAAAGTGAGACTCGGTCTCATAAAAGAAGTCCACCTTCTTCAATTTTTATCATCTATTACCAGCGTCTTCTGAAGAGTCACTTTCCTCAACTCAGTGAATTTCACCATCCTCAGTTCCATCTATACCACTTCATTTTTGACACAGTTCCACAAACTTAGGAGCCATTTGCAAACCTGGGTGATGTGCACTTTCATGTTACTGCCTGTAGATGTTAAATCATTACCAGCTGACTAAACCCATGATGTCCACTGTATCTTCATTAGGGCTTTCAAGGGCTTGTTTACTGACACATCTAGAAGTTGCAGGTGGCTGGTCAGCCTACCGCCACGTATCACAGCAAGTTGGGTTTTGAAGTCCACTGTGACTGCTTTTGCACTTTGCATAACATGGCCTTTGAAATGATCAAAAATAAGCAGAGCTGTTTCTTTAAGTAATCCTCCAGGCCTTCATTAAACCAGATTTTCCTGCCTTCATCATTTATCCATCCTTTTTCATGAACAGGGACAAAAACTCCAATTAGAATGTTTTCTTTCTGAAACGTTTTTCTTTTAAAGATGATCATAGACGGCAGCTTTGTTCCATCTGCACAGCAGGCTAGAACAACAGTGCAATGTGTTTTCTCATCTACACGAGTTTTAACAACCAGAGTCTTTGTTCCTTTGATGTGCACAATACTGCTGGATGGCAAATCAAATGTCAGACCTTATCCATACTGTGATTTAGGAGAGTTCAAAGGTATAAATCTTTTGAAGATTGATAAGGTGAGAACAAAATTCCAAAACTTGCTGCTGGAAGTTTGGGGGCAAGTTTTGAGTTCTCATGATCAAATCTACCTTCATAAAGTTAAAGTACAATTTAGGTGTTCCTGAGAAATCATTAATTTTTTTTTTTTTTCTCATGCAATCCTTTTACTTTCTTCTTGTATATCTTGGTCAAAACAGAGATCCTAGTTTGATGTTGCTCCAGGATCCAGATCTTCACCTCCTGTTCCACCTACCGACATTCTGAAGATTTCTCTCACATTGCCTTTTGTCTTGGCATCTGAAGCTTTTCTTCCTGCTGTGTCCACAATCTGATGACACTCTCTGTGGGAAGGGGTCCCAAGTGTCTCCTGGCAGCTCTTTAGCATATTTAATAACTGTTAGCTTAGACCGGGTGAAATGCTCACACCTGTAATCCTAGCACTCTGAGGGCCAATGCAGGTGGATTGCTTGAGCTCAGGAGTTTGAGACCAGTCTAAACTGGTCTCTACTAAAAATAGATAAACTAGCCCAGCATTGTGGTAGGCACCTGTAGTCCCAGAAACTCAGGAGGCTGAGGCAAGAGGATCGCTTGAGCCTAAGAGTTTGAAGTGTGCCATCATAGCACCCTACCGAGGGTAAGAGAGTTAGACTCTGTCCCGAAAAACAAACAAACAAAAAAACCCTCAAAAACCAAAAAATTCTTAGCTTAAGACTTACAGTGTACAAAAACCATTTCAATATTTTTAAAGAGCTTTTCCAATAATTTCTGTAAAAACGTCAGCTAGATTACTAGCTCACAGTTGAAGTGTGTGAAGAGCTGTACATAGCTCTTCACTCTCTGAAAATGCTTTCCTTGAAAGTTAGTCATAAATTCAACAAAACAGATTATAGTATTCCATGGTGTTACTTTGCATGTGGACATTATTATTACTTTTTAGAGTTATGATTTTAATGTGTAAGCATAAATAAAAAATTGAAAGCATTTTTAGATATAGAATTAGTATTACCCATGTAAAATACACATCCTTATTTTCCTTTCAAAATTTGGGCAAATAAGTACACATTATGCACAACAAAATAAAGATGTGGTCATTTTTTTTATTCAAAACACCCATTTCCTTGTCTCCTGGGCCTATGCCTCCAAAGCCCATCTTCCACCCCACTGACTAATTAGACTTGTCCACGTGATGTGCTCTGACCAGTGAAATAGGAAATGTGCCCCTTCTTAAAGTTAGCTTTAGGAGGCACACACATACACACTTGCTTTCCCTTTGCCATGAAAAAATAATGTTCAAGAGAGAAACTACCTTTCCTTCAGACGAAGTACCAGCGTAATAACATACAGCAGACAGGTAACTGACCTGCTATGAATGCAGCTTAATTATGGAATAAATCTGCTGTAAATTGTTACAATTTGTGGGCTGTTTGTTACAACATCATAATCTGACCCAAATTCTGATATAGCAGAGCATGCAGAGTAAACTGGTTTGACACTGTAAGCACCTACAAGGCCAACCTCAAGTAGATGTGCTGTTATGAACACTGCTAGTAAGATACGAGGATTACATATTTGCTATCCCTTAAGAAGAAACTTCAAGAGCATCCAAATCAAAATCTAAAATGGTTCTTCTGTTATAGGTATTTCAAAATATTTGAAGATAGTAATCATTTTACTGAAGAACCTAATGCTTAATCATGGAATTGATTGAACTGGCTATTGTTTTCTTGGCTTAGACATTAAATCACTTGATCTCTCAAGAGACTATGTATAGTCTACTAAGTTGAAGGTATAAACTCCAAAATCAAAATTCATGGATTTAAATGAATCTCAACTCTGCTACTTAATAGTGAGTTATTTAACCACTCTCACCTTCATTTCTGTCACTGTACAGTGGAGATAATATGCCTCCTCATATTTAAGAATTACATAAGTTAAAGTATCACATAATAGGGCTATATGGAATGATAGAAATGTTCTATATCTGCACTGTCTACCATTAACTATACAAGCCCTTCAAGTATGAGCAATGCAACTGAAGAAATCACTTTAATTTGAATTCAATTAACTTAATTAAATGTAAAGTCACATCTGGCTAGCGGCTATTGTATTGGAAACAAAGTCTTAGAACCTAAACTGCACATAAGTACTATTCAGTGTTTATTACAATAGTATCACTTGACACATATCTGAAACTCAATATATCAAATATTACAACAAAAAGAATATAATCACTAAGAATTGCTTTAAGGCATTAAGGTACCATCTCAAGGATGGATTTATTTACTTATTTATTTTTTCACTTTGGTAAGAGCAATGGTTGTATTGATGTATACACAAATTAGAAGCTAACATGTTTACTGAAGTGAGTAGTTAGGCTAAAAATGTATTTGACAAAAAAACAGAATTTCTCAGTGACTGGAAGGAATATCCTGATGGGGCAAAAAGCAAGAATAAAAAGAAATAGATTTGAGATGAATAAAAGAAGCTAAGAGATTGTCCAATAGACTTTGAGACCCTTGGAGATTATAACTTTATATAATTTCTCATATTATTATTAAGTAACTCCTGTCACATGGCAGGAATTCAAAAATTAAACTTGATCCTTAAATACATTAAAAGGCTTTGGAAATAAGTATATGATCTTAAGTATGAAATCTGATCTTTAGTCCTGGTTCTAACCAATGACTAGGAATAAAACTATGAATTAAGTCATCCCAACCTAACTATTCTCTAAAAAAAGGGAGGGAAGACTTCCTACTTAACCATACAGAATAGTGAAGACAAAAAGATATAAAACTTACCTCCACTCAATGTCCCATGAGGATCAAACACATCCCCTCCTAGAGTTACAGTTCTAGTCATTATCCTTTTATCAAAGGCCACTTTTTTGGCATTATCCATATTGTCACAGACAAATGTTGTTCCAAAGACAAATTCCATTGCTTTCTGAAGTTCTGGTTTATATTCCACCAGGGAAAGAGCCACATGAACATTGTTAGGGCCAACCTGTGGAAAACAACAGCTGTACCATAGTACACAGTATTTCTTTTCAACTATTAAACATTAAGAATTACAATAATAGAAATTTGAGTAATAATTACCTAGCATAAGAATTCTTTTTGAAAGTTCTAAAAAACTATGTAAAACTAAAAAGTTTCAGAAAAATTGCTTGTTTAAATATTGAAAGATCTATTGCTAAGTAAAATATTTAGCTAATACCAGGCATTAATAGAGTTTCTATCATGAAAAAGTGATTACCAAGTTTCTAAATCCAAAATGGATTTTGGACACAACTTCCTTAACTAAAATATAGCACTAGTTAAGTATCCCTTATCCTAAATGCATGGGCCTGAATGTTTCAGATTTCTAACTGTTGTAGGATTTTGGTTCATTTGCCTTTTACCAGTTGAGCATCGCAAACTGAAGTCTAAAAGGTACCAATGTGCATTTCCTTTGACCATCAGGTTAGCGCTCAAGAAGTCTCAGATTCTGGAGGATTTTGGATTTTCACATGTGGGATGTTCACTTTGTACAGGTAAAACAAAAACCACTTCGTATTTTCTTAATTGTGAACTTAGTTTGTTGGTACTTGTAATTGGGGGAAAATATAATAAAGCTGTAACGTTAATAAAGAGGTCAAGCTTTTATTTCATTTGGTTGTTTTAGCCAGGCTTTATATCTCAGAGTCACACATACATGCTTGCACAGTTTATCCTGGTTTTCTATATTAGTCCAAGGAGATGAATCCCCATTTAAGTAATACAATCCTTTGAAAATGGGTTTTTTGATCAATGTCTCAATGTCTTGTTTTGAACTTTCTGCTGCTTGCTGTAGTGTTAAGATAAATACTCATTTCAGAGAGAGGCGAGATGGAATACCTGGCATCAGAAATGCCACTGTGGGTCAGAGCACATCTCCCTTGCATGTGCCAAAGTGAAGTTGTTTTCCATGACAAAGTCCTCGAAGATCTGGTCTTTTGCCCCAAAGCCTTTACCTTTTTTCTTTTTCTTTCTTTCTTTTTTTTTTTTTTGCAGTTTTTGGCTGGGGCTAGGTTTGAACCCACCACCTCCAGCATATGGGGCCAGTGCCTTACTCCCTTGAGCCACAGGCACCACCTCGCCCTTACCTTTTTCATAATGGCCTGCTATTCTTTTCTCATTTATAATTTAATCTGATTTATTCCTCAGCTCTGCTTTACTCTTGTGATTTCTGTACTCAGCCCAAGCAATCACATTGTTCCACAGAAACCAAGCTACCTTCTTGACTTTTTTGAAAGTTTGCTACAGTCACACCAAGCCATAAATAACATTTCCAGTGCTTTTTCCCTAAAGTCAAAATGCTCTAATAAGCATTTCCTTTGAGTGTCATGTTGGTGCTCCAGAAGTTTTATATTTGGAAAAACTATTCAGCTTTCAGATTATCAGACCACAGAGTGTCAAACAATAATGCATATATCAATATAATTATATAAAATGTTGGTTTCAATAATTAGTAACCTGGTCATTACATAATAAATACTCTTCCAGTCAAGTTAAACATGCTAAAATAGCCACTTGTCTATTATAGAAGCAAAAATAGAATGGAATAATTGAGAAGGTAAAACATAATAAAGAAAATCCCTTAATCTACTTTGATCCAACTGCCTCTTTTTAGCCTTTGCTTATAAAATCTGCTCTGCCTATCTTTTGGAGCTTAATGGCAGCAATAGAAATCAAAATAAAGGCAGCTCTACATATGTTCAGCATTGTTCTTTGACACAGCAGCTACCCTTACCTAATCTAGTTAAGGGATTTGGGTGAAAACCATTTTTGCTGTTACTTGAAATCCAAAATTCTAACACTTGAACTTGATCTATGGCTGAATTAACTTCCTGAGCCTTTATGACTCAACAGTGACTTTCAAAAGTAAAAAAATTACTAAAACACAGCCTTTCAATTACCCTTCACTTATTCTCCCTCTCTTGATAGGATACCTATCAATACAACTATATTTTGAAATCATTTCCATTGAGTCCTTAATTTCAGTAAAGACACTCTTATATCAACTTAGTTACAAATGTATTTCTAGGTTTTATAGAAATGTCCTTTCAACTCACGCACTTGGAATGCCTACTCAATAACAACAAATTGATACTGCTGCTGAATGTTATGACTGCTTCCTGTTTTACCCGGTATTATACAGTCATGATAGCTTGTTAAACGTATCTCCTTGTACTCATCTATTTCCTTACTGCCAAGCATACCACTTTAGCATATTAGCTCCACGGTTGACCAGGATGCGGGGCACAGGCTATGTATAGGCTTAACAACAATGAAGAAGAATTCTAATAAAGAAAGCTTCAGTGCAAAACTGATGGATACCTCCTATAATGCTTATCCTGTATGCACTTCAAGTGTGTCTGATATTTAGAAAACTTCGGATATCTATGAGCTCAAGTCTACTCAAAAATTGGAAGTGTAATATTTACTACCACCTGATAGTTGTGTGACTTCAAGGTTTAAAGAAACTAACATGTTACACTTTAAAGTATCAAAGGGAGTTCCAGTCATCCAACATTTCTATTCTCTTATTAACCAATTACAGAAGACCCAATGCTTAGTAACAGTATCTTAAGTTTTACAGAAAAAAAAAAAATTAAAAATTTGTGGTTCTACATATGAGTATGTACCCCAAATTAGTATCTTCTAATTAAAAAAAAGAAAGACAAAGATTAAATAAGACAAAGATAAAATAAGACTTACAAGATTCTGGGCAACCTTCAGCGTTTCTGGAGCAATACATCTGGCTGAAATTTTATTGAGTGGAATTATAGTGAATCGACGTTTTAATTCCCCCTTTTCCAGTAGCTTTTTACCAGTAACCTAAAATACACATTTGAGATTTAAAAATATATATATAGGGATGATAGAAAACCTGTAAGAGTAAAGAATGCAAAGAAATCCATTATCAAATAAATATTTAGAGAGAATGGGAGAAGATGGTGGACTAGAAGCAGCTCGTGGGTGCTAATCTTGAGAAGACTGAAAGTTAAAGGCAGAGGTTTACCTACAGATGGCTTTTTTTGGAAAGAACATTGTAGAACTCCAAAGAGATAGGGGACATTCAGAATAATGTAGAAAATGATAGGATAATTCATTCAGCAAGATCAGGGACAACTTTGGGAAGTGATGAAAAAAGCATTTGACAAAATTCAATACTCTTTCATGATAAGAACATTTAACTAAATTGGTATAAAAGGAAATATCTCAAAATTATAAAGGCTATATATGACAAACCTACAGCCAACATCATATTGAACAGATTGAAAACATTCCCACTTAGAACTGGAACCAGACAAGGTTGCTCAGTTTCACCACTTTTATTCAACATAGTGGTGCTAGACATTCTAACCAGAGTAATCAGACAAGATGAAAAATATCCAGGGTATTCAAATGGGGAAAGAAGAGGTCAAACTATGGCTCTTTGCTGATTGAACCCCTATTCAATAAATAGCACTGAGAAAAGTGGATGGCCATATGTAAAAGATAGAACCAAGATTCATACCTCTCACCACTCACAAAAATTAATTCATGATGAATAAAAGACTTAAACCTAAGGCATGAAACTAAAATAATTCAGAAGAATTGAAAAAACTCTTATAGATATCGGCCAAGCTAAAGAATTTATGAAGAAAGAACCCCCCCCCCAAAAAATTATAGCAACAAGATAAATAACCAAACGAGGCCTGATCAAACTAAAAAGTTTCTGAACAGCCAAGGACACATCAATAGAATAAACAGATAACCTATGGTATGAGAGAAAATATTTGCATGCTATATATCCAATAAAGGTCTGATAACCAGGATCTGAACAGAACTCAAGTATTTGGATAATTTAGTAGCAATCTCACCATTAGGCATTTATCTAAAGATAAAAAGATATTTTATAACAAAGAAACTTGCATGTAAATGTTTATAACAGCACAATTTACAATCACAATCTGAGTGCCCATTAACACATGAGTAGATTAAAAAAATTTATAATAATTACATTTTTATACATTATTTATACATTAATAATATGTATACCACGGGAGTACCATTCAACCATAAAAAATGATAATTTAGTACCTTTTGTAATAACTTAGATGGAACTGGAAACCATTCTCCTAAGTGAAGTATCACAAGAATGGAAATACAGACACCATTTAGTAGTCAATACTAAATTGGAACTAGTTGATCAACATTTATGTGTACAAATTTAAGTATAACTGAACAGAAATCAGCAGGTGGGATGCACATATTCTGGGTAAAGGGCATAACTTTGACTTAAAATGTACAAAAGCAAATTATGTAACCAAAATGTACTCCTGTAATATTCTGGGGAAAAAATAGAGAAAAATAATTTGGAACTAATCAATGGGCACATACTTGCACAAAGAGAAGGAATAGTCATTGGAAATCAATAAGGCGGCAGTGAAGAGGAATAGAGAGGTAAAAACCTACTTTACGAGTACAATGAACACAATTTGGGTGATAGGCACACTAACGGCTCTAACTCAAGCATTAATAAAACCTACCTATGTAAAAACAAATTTTATACCCCTTAATATTTTGAAACTAAAATAAAATAGCAACATATAGTACCTTCTATAGCAAATAATCAAAAAGTTCAAGACTATACACACACACAAATACTATTCAGCCTTAAGAAAGAGATGCTACCATTTGTGCCAACACAGATGACCCTGGAAGGCATTATGTAAGTGATATAGCCAGACACAGAAAAAAATTACTGTATGATTATTAATTATGCATGTACACATACAAAAAACAAGAAAAAGAAAACAAGTTACCTCTGTGTCTACTACAACGTTGTAGAGTCGTTCCCCAGCTACCAATTCTAAAGCTGTGGTTGCAGATGTATCCTTCACGCTAATCAGAGAAGCTACTAGTCCTTTCACAGAATTTCTATTCCAGTTCTTCTCTGGATCTCTAAAGTAGAAAAGTCAACAAAAATTAATCTTAGAAAATTAGATAAGAAAATAGAAAAAGACATACTTTACTAGTCAAGAGCTCTTTTGGACAACACATTAAACAGAATTAAAAGTATATGAAAGAATCACATAGTTTTAATAAAACAAGAATTTTAACATACTACTACTGACTACCCAGCTGTTGTTTTTAAATTAATCAATAGATATTTCAGTAGGTTTTCAATGTAATAAAAACAACTCTGATGTCCTCATCTCTGTAATACATATAACTGTAAGTATTCCATAAAAAATCCATATAGCTAAACAAATTATAATATGTAAATGTAATATTTAAGAATAATGAAAGAACAACTTTAAAGATACTTGAAACTGATATTAAATTGCCCTCATTTTGGTTTTAAGATTAGTAACATCAGAAGCCATTAAACTTCACAAAAATTCCCCTGCCCACATTTGAAATATTTCAATAGATGATTAAAGAAAAAATACCAATTAAGGAAAAACAGCTTACAAGTTCCATACAAAAATATTGGTGTTAAAATTTTCAGTCTGTTTCCAGTTTAAATAAAAACTATGTCTTTGTTATTACTATGATAAAATTCAAAGTTTAAATCTCTCACTTGTATGCAAATTGAAGATTGGGAAATTTGGCCAGGAGAGCTTCATATGTTTCTTTCAATCTACCGATACCACGAGACAGCTGCTTGCGCTCTTCCAAAAGTCTCTCTTCTTTATTTTCTGAAGAGTAAATCATCAAAAAATAGAAACCAAATTTTAAAAACTCAGGTATTTTAAGGAAAATGTTAATAACTTCTATTTCAAAAGCATTCCTCTACAAGCAAAACACAAATTTCTGGTAAGAGAAAAAAATTCTTAACCTTCAAAATTTATATCAAATGTCAAGCAGGCATTTCCAACAACAAATAACATAATTTTCACTCTAAGAAACAACATGCACTATTTCATAATTATGTATTTTTCTAATTATATCTACAAATATTTCTTATACTAATCCCCACTAATAGTGTCAAAGGTATTTCCTACTTCCCTATTTCCACTCCTTAAATTGCTTTCATCAACAATTACTGCCCTCTAATGATCTATCATGTTTTAAAAGGCAAACCTTCATAATTTAGCTTTTTTATTTCAGCTTCAAGTTTTTCTTTAAGTCTCTTCACAGCTTCTAAAGCTTCTTGATCCTTTTCGTAGCCACCATCCATCTTCTTAACTTCAGCTTGCTTATTCTTTAATTCCTGCTGGGCATGTTTCAACTTCATCTGAGCCTGTGATAAAGAAATGTAACTGACTATATGACATATGAAGCAGATAATGCTAGTAACTGAATGGGCACAGATTCAGATTGGTTAATTATAAGACTTTAGTCAAGAAAATGTAACTGTTTGGTCTCTTGGATTAGTATAGACACAGATCAATCATTTCCCAGTGCTTTCTCCACAAAAAACTACATGGAGCATAAAAACTAACATATTATTAATATAAATAAGTAATTTGCAATTTAAGTTCATATTTCTAATATTCATAAAACATGACACATTAACAAAGGTGAAAAATTATATCAAAGATAAATGCCAGTAGCTGGTTAAACTAAAAATATAATAGAAAACTAGCTATCACAATCCTAGTTCCCTTCATTTCCACTTAGGTGTTATTAATTATATGTGTATTTGTCAGTGTTATCTAATTAACAATGGAGAAGCTGCACCGAGCAATGAGAAATAAGATTATATAGGAAAAAGGAGGTAAATACAGGCAGTCCCTGAGTTATAAACATCCAACTGTGGTAAGGATGGAGGTTATTACAGGCTATAGGTAAATTCACCTGTTCCAACTTACATACACATTCAACTTAAGAACTAATCTACAAAACTTAGTGTTCATAACCCAGGACTGCCTGTAGACAGAGAAATAAATTTAAATACTAGAACCATTTTAACATCTGCAGTTTATATAATTGAACAGTGCCTCTTAAAGCCATGAACTAGTGTAATAAGACCTATGTGGGGGTATCTTCTCTTTAAAACTGAATAATGACACGGTTTTCCTAGTTCTCTTAGAAAATAAGTAAATAGAAAAACTTAAGAGTACTTTCAAGTTTTTCTGTTGTTGAATTCTATAAAATTTTTGTGATGATCATCTTTGTCATCTCTGAATAAAAAAGTTATAAATATATACGCAGAAAAACTTGAGGAGGATTAAAGCACAATTTCACATATCTGTATGCATATTTAAAAGGTGCATCCACCATTAAAAAATATAAAGGAAGGACCAGGGTGTGTGTGTTTATCTTTTTTTCTGCCAGCAAAACTGTGTCCATAGGACTTCACGCTGCACTACTATGTAAACATGTTTAACAAACATCTTATACAGACAGACAAGACTCAAGATTGTGACATCAACAGGGAAACGAAAGGCTGGAATGTAAACATGAGGTAAAAAGACTTTCTAGAAAGATGCTGCTAAGTTCTGAAAACAAGGTTTTAAGAATTAGGTAAGAAAAGCAAAGCAATAGAGAGGGTAAGGTTTTTTGATTCTTGTTAAAGCTTAAGACTTCAATATTATGATACCAGTAAAAACAGTGAAGAAGGGTAAGAATTGGCTAACATCCCATATTCCATAAAATTCTGTGAGCACTCCAGGCACTTATTGCGCTTATGAAGTGAATTAAGGTAATTTATGTTTTACAGCATCATGACAAATTAACATCAATATTTAGCAATCAATACATATTTCTGCTGTATTAGATACCAGAGAGACGCAAACAGAATAAAGTAAACACGTTCACTGACACTGATAGTTTTCAGCATTTTGTAACAACTGCCCAATTATAATGTAAAAAGAAACTTCAAAAACAAACAAAAAAAAGTAATCACATATTGCTTAACATCTGTAGTTACCTGTTTGGCTTCTGTCTGAGCTTTGCTTATATCATTTTTACAGGCCATCATCTGACCAGCTAGCGTGGCTTCTGCTCCATCTTCATTGCTGGACAGCCCAGCAGACACAGCATTGAAGTGCTGCTGGGCAGCAGCCAGAGCCTCGGCATCTTTACTACCAGCTTCTTGAAGGGCGTGCAGTCCTTCTGTTATGTTTTTCACCTCTTTTTCTTTCACTGCTAAAGTTTTAGAGTCCTTCAGGAAGTTTCAAATTGAAAAATATACATTAGGAACATTTACTTTCTTACACACATAAACTCTCACACTATCACATTTTAAATTTAAATTACTGCTTTGAAATTCACTCAGTTTGGGGGATAAATGTAACTCTTATATACATAAAATATTTTCATTCCATATGTTATAATCAAATCTAGGATACATTGAGCTAAAAAACATTGCATATTTAAACAAACCACTTGCAGAAACTAAAAAACAATTTCTCAAGTTGAAATAATAGCCATCCTTCACTAAGCTTAAAAGTACTGGTTTTAGGATTAAGAGAAATGTATATGAAAATATTTTACAAATTACTAACAGCCATAAAATTTATGTACTAAATAGTTATAGGGAAAGTATTACTGATATTTGATACCTTTTAAGTAATATTAACCAGATATCTAACACCTTGCAAGATACTATCATGGACAAAAGAAAAACAAAATCTTAGTTATATCATTTATAGAAAATAATCAGAAATTTTAGCCCACTTGATTAGTTTATCAAATATTTATTAGCACTTACTATCTAGCAGGCATTGTTCTAAGACATTAAAGATACAGACTAAGACCTTGTCCTCAGGGAGGCTATATTTAAAGGCAGAAAACCCAATTATTTGATTTACCCAAATAATTGACCTTGAACACTGCTAATCTTTCTCAAAGTTAAAAATCCATGCATAACTTTTGATTCCCCAAAACTTAATACTAATTAGCCTACTAGTAACCAAAGTTTCACCAATAATACAAGTTAACAAATATTTTTTGTGTTATATGTATTATCAACTGTATTCTTACAATAAAGTAAGCTAAAGAAAAGAAAATGTTACAAAAAAATCACAAGGACAAGAAAAGACATTTATGGTATTGTATTGTACCCCCCGATGCCCTGTTTATGTCATCTGCTATAAGATTAATCTTCTGTCTGAATTGGTGTACAACCACAGCTGTAGACTTCAATCTACAGCACATTATCAAGCAGGAGCTGCTCACAGAGATGAGTAGCACCATACGGTATTTTCAGTGGATATCCACAACACTGTTGTTCATGACAGCAACAGGAGGGAGCTATGAAATTATTATAATAGTACAGTATGAACTAGTTAATTTTATGCAGTTATGATTTAATACTGTCTCTTTACAATTCTTTACACTTGTCTGGACTACAAAATAGCACCACTATAAGCATATGCATAAGTTTTTGACAAATTTTAACATTTTATAATTTAGTTATTTCTAGGTTATGAAGTCCATCTAAAGTTTTTTCAAACTGTGACGAGTCTTCAAAAAGTTTTCCTATATACAGTAGAATTGCTGTAAGTTGACCACCCAAGGGAATGTAACAAACTGGGTCAACATACAGAGGTGACCAACATAAAGAACTAGGCCTACTGTACTGATATGTACATGTGGTCCATGTCCAGGATCTGACAATTAGGTCAGCTTAAAGAGGTAATTACTGTAGGGAGATGATCAACTGTGGAGGACTACTGTATTTATGGAAAAAAACTACACATAAATGGACCTTCACAGTTCAAACCCATGCTGTCTAAGGGTTGAATGCACATGTGACTTTGGAACCACTGAATCATTTTTAAGCACAGGAATGCACATGATCCAATTTATTTTTAGCCTCTGTAAAGATCAGACTGTGTAGCAGCAAGAATAAGAGTAGGGCAATAAATAAAGACACCACTGCAGCAGCCATAATGGTGCTGGCTCAAATTGGTTGGCAGTGATGGAGGAATAAAAAGTGGCTATATTCTGTATATATTAATACTTTTAAAGCCAACAGAATTTGTTGATGGACTGGATATAAAACGGAGGCATGAGTGTTAGCCCTGAAACTAAAATTTAGAGATCAAGAAGCATAGGGGGATAAAGAAAAGAAAAAAAAAGAACCACCATGGTCACTATGTGAAGCTTATTAAGGATCTGACAGATTTAAGGAAAAATATACCCAAACCAAGACAAGTCTGTAATTTAGAGCTTTACAAACCTCAATTAAAAATACAAAAGTTTGATGGACTGATTTCAGCTCTAGGTTCCACAATAGTCTGCTATGTCACATTCACATTGTTTTTATTTTGTCTAAATTTTTACCCTACTATTTAAGTGGATAATTGGACCTCTATGCAAATACATCTAATGGGACAGTATACAGAAATACTTTATTTTCATGAAGTTATTTTTTCAATAAAAAGACAAATGTATATTTTCACTGGGATAACAGAATCCCTCTCAAGAAAAGTTCTATAAGCTCTAATCACATAACCTACTTATCTACCTGCATATGAGACTATATACATATACTTGGGTCTTCAGTTACTATGAGTGACCAAGTTCTACCACTTCCTCATGTACTGAGGAACCTTGTTTTAACAATACTCTCTCTTCTGAATCACAAATGATGATTTTTCCATCAATCCACAAATGATGGATCTTTTCCATCAATATACAATTTCTTTATCCAAGGTAAAATCAAATCAAAAAATCTCTTATTTGTACATTACCCTCCAGTTTGCTCTCTAAGTATCCTTTTCAGAAAACTTCTCAAAAAGTTATCTGTATTCACTCTCAAATGTTTTTGCCTTCATTGTGCGAGACTGTGAACACTCTAATTAGGAACCCACGGCTGCCTCTTCTTGAAACACCTTCTGCATTTGGCCTCCAGGACAACTTACTTCCCTGACTTTCCTCAGACTTCCTCAAACTCTTTGCTTATTCTTCCTCATGTCCCCTAACTTCTAAATGGTAAAGAATCCCAGCACTCATACCTTAAACCTCTCCTCTTCTTACATGCTCATGCCTTTAATCATTTTATCGAGTCTCCATGGAGTTAAAAATTACCTACACATTGATGACTCCCAAATCTGCACTTTCCTCCTAGATTTGATACATATTTAACTACCTACTCATTATCACCACTCAAGATATCTAACAGGCACTTCAAGTCTATTATGTTCACACCATATTTATTTCCTCCAGTCAAACCTGTTCTTCCTATTTTCCATTTTAACTACTATTAACTACAAACTTCAATGGCTACCCAATTTAAAATCCCAAATTTCACTCTTATTCCCCTATACTCCTAAATCCCATTCCCAATTTACTTTTTCTCCATATCAGTTATCACGATATAACACAATATACATTTTATTTTCCTTATTATCATTTTCCCCACTGGAATGAAGGATTCACAAAGCAAGGACTTTGGACCATTTTGTACACTGCTGTTCCCCCAGCCCAAATAATTGTACTTAGCTCATAGTAGACAATCACTAAATATATACTGAATGGATAAAGGTACACTATTAGTCTTACTAACTTACCTCAGCCATATTTTTTTCCAGCTCCATGCGCTTATTCTCTTCACTTGTGAGATTTTGCTTCTTGAGATCAAATGCACTTTGAGATTTAGTATTAACTCGCTGAGCCTCTGTGAGAGCATCCTCTAAAGATCGAAGTATACCTCCAATTTCCTATAATCAAATGCACCCGATTCAATAAAATCACTTAAAATTTGTTCAGGTTGTCATTTTTTTTACCTGACTCCCATATGAAATATTTACTATTTTATAAGCTATTTCATTCCCCTACTTCAATATGAACAAATCAACATGAAACACAATGCCCAGTGAATCCTGAAGTTACTGCATATTTTTTCACAGAGTATATTATCTGTTCTTATATATATGTTCTGACCTTATCTTTACTTTTTTCTAATTCTTCTATTTCATGAGTAAGTGCTTTTATTTTTTTATCATTCTCAGACAATTCTTCTTGAAGCTTTACAACTTTATCTTGCATTTCTTTTAACTCCTCAGCTGAGCGTGCTTTGGTATCTTCGGCCAGCAAAAATTGATAAGCAATATATAATCGAGTCAAATGTTCTATTTCTCTCATTACTTTTTGGTACTCCAAATAGGAAGATCTTTCCTGAAAGAGAAGTCACCCTTTAAGAATAACTCAAAATTCTTATTTTTAAAAAATTTGGAAAGAATCAAACTACAGTATGTATCAAATTCCCATTACATGAAATAACAGATTTTGCCTCACACTGAATGATCACGACATTTTAAATTTTAGAAAACTATCTGACATTAAAACTCTGGCTTTTTTATATAGCATTATACCATTGCTAATGAATTCTATGTGGTTACTTTTTCTAATATATAATCAGGCAGTTGGGATTAACAGAGAAATATATGGTTCATAAACTGGTGGTAAAAAGTCTACAAAGATGACCTACCAGTGAGAGATAAACTACTAAATACATTTTGCAGTTAAAAAAAAAGTTTTGTAGTAATATTACCAAATGTCTACTTAACATTTTTTCAAATACTACTATAAGCATTTGTTCACACATTATGAAATCTGATTCCCACAAAAACTTAATAAAGCATACAAAGTAATAACTAAAATCCCTAATCTGCAGATTAAGAAACAAATTCAAGGTTAAATGACTTGTCCATCATGTCAGAATTAGAAATGTGGCAAAATCAGGTTGAAATTGGAATTCCTGATCTAGTGTTTTCTACTAAATCATGCATAAAAAATGGTACCTTCAAAATCACAATTTTTCACTTTTTCCAGCAACTTCTGTGTTATGAAAACAGCTTTAAGCATTACCAAAATTTAATAAGCATTTAATAAATTCCTCAATGACTATCTATAAAAACAAAATTATTCTTTCACTGAAACATGGCTAAGTTTTACATCAGGAGCTGCAAAGATCAAAGAGAAACCTCAATTCTCTGTTTCAACAACTTTTGCTTACAAAATATCTTGACAGCAAAATTATGGCAATGGCCTTCTTATCCTAGAAGATATTCATTCTACCAAGGGTTACTATGCATGCTCTATCTTTAAGAAATGTTGTTCTAAGCAAATCATCCAGGAAAATAAGACTTGTTTCTTTAATAATCAAAACTGACATATCATTTTCTGAGACTATTAAGATCATTCTTCAATATCATTAAGACTTAAGAGATATGAAGTACTTATTCTCTGTAAATAGAAGACTGAGTTATGGAGCATCAATTCTAACTCCCTATCTCATCCCAGAAAAAATCCCCATGAAATAATATATACTTCATCCTCATTACGTATAATCTTGGATACATCATCACACATCCTGGCTGACTATCCTGCCATATACAGCATATACCTCTTTTAATTTTTGAATAGTTGGAGTAATCTCTTCTTCAAGTATCTGCAAAATAAAGGAAAAAAAAATCAATATTTTCAATATGTAAAGTACCACAAGAAAATTTAAAAGAGAAGTGGAATGGAAGATTATAGAAAACTGAACTGAGAAAAAAAATTTCTTCTTCTGGGCAGCGCCTGTTGCTCAAGGAGTAGGGCACCGGCCCCATATACGGGGGGTGGCGGGTTCAAGCCCAGCCCCAGCCAAAAATGTAAAAAAATTCCCTCTGTATAGCATAAACTACAAATGCAAGATCACACCCTTCTCTGAAAATATTTTATAAAAATTTAATTACCGTCTTAATTTCTTTCAGCTTAGCCTCCTTTTTTTCTATAGTTTTCTGGGCAGCTGATTTTTTGTATTCATACATCCTGGTTCCAGCTGCTTCTTCTATCATGGATAATATCTGAAATGACAATTGTATTCATGTTTTAAGAATCCAAGACAACGTGTCTCACTGGAGTTTATATTAAATCATTTATAGTCTTGACCTCACTAAGCATCTTACAAAAATAAGAGCCCAAATAGACCATAAGAGTTAAATATGGTGACTTAATACAAATCTTCTTCTGTAAGGTTTTTCTGTTATACCAGCTAAGCAAGACCAAACAGAGGCAAAATTTCTTTTAATACTGGGCATACTGCCAAATATTAAATATACAATTTTCTCTACTAATCATTCTTAAATAGTATTTCTAAGAATTTTATAAATGGAAGAAATTATGTGGAAAAAAACGCCCAGAAGATTAAAACAGTATCTATAATTACGATTTTTAATGTTCATAAGTAGTACTCTTACCTCTGGAGGTTTCATATTCAATACTTTTGTAATTCGGCCCTGAAAATAAAATGGCAAACTTACCATAATGATAATAAATTTCAGAAAATGCAACCTAAAAGCAGTTTATCTGTACTGAAGCTGCTAAATCTCAATATGCAATTTTGGGGGAGGTCTATTGTCAACCTACATTAAAGATGGTTCTTTTGTTAGATCTGAGACCAAAGGTGCCTTATAATTCTAGGATTTTGGAACTTTGTTATTTACTTCCTTACTTGCCATTAAATGATACAAATGACATAATGTAATGATACAAAGTTAGCTCCGACCAATTTTCTGAGACTATTAATTTTAATGATATAGAAACACCTAATTTTTAAAAAAGTATTGTATATAAACACATTTTAGCATAATTAATGTACATTTCTTAATTTCTTTGAATGATAAACTTCCAAAATAATTACATGAAACAGGACACATTTCTAGGCCTCAAACAGAATAAAATGTTTTACTCCGATGCCATAAAAATCATTAAATTCATTTATTATCAAAAGCAAATGAAACAAAACCACCTGCACACTCAGGTCTCAGAGAATCATATTTCTAGGACATAGATTCACTTGAAGTAAACGTTTGGTTTGAATGCGTGACTTAAAGAAAAATATTTTATTTTGCTCCCATCGAGATCTTCCCGTTAACGTAACTGTGACTCTCAAAGGCAGCTGGAGGGTCAGGCGAAATAATGTAAATGCAAGACATCATCAGTCTTTACTTCTCATTTGCATAAACTTCTAAGGAAGAAAATTACTAAAACTTTCATACTTGAAATATTAAAATGCTTTAATAGAATAAAAGAATACATCATGACTTTTTACACAGTCAAACAGGTATTATTCTTTTAGTGACAATATAAAATTCAAGAAAAACTTCTAACTGTTCTCCAAATTCAAATGTATGTAATACGGTAGATGACATCAATGCAAACAATTAAACCACATTTCTTAATAGATCCCAGAACACAGTATAATAGTAAATAGAACTGGAAAATCTAAAAAAGTTACTTATCCAATTATAATAAGTTAAAAATAAAATGTATCAAAACCGTCATGAAAGAGATATAAAGACCTCAGACAAAATACCTGCATGATGAGAAAGTGAGGGTTATTAACATTAAGGCCAACAGAACAGAAGAGGTCCTGTACTCTGGTGTTGTTTGCATTTACTCCATTGATTAAATATTTATTTCTGCCACCAATAACCACCTGAAAAAGGAAAAGTTTTTTTAAATATGAATGTATATACAAACCTTATGCCATTATGATAAGATTACTAAGCATATTACTATGCATTTACTTAATTCTATCCAGCTAACAGTAAACAAAACGAATTCTGAGTAAAGAGTTGAAGAAATGTGACGTGGTCAAAAATATTAACTTGAGTCAGGGCATGTACCTTCTACTCCAGTCACTTTTGCTAATGAGTTACATAATCGTTACATAACCTACATACAAGGTTCCTATCCTACCATTCATTGGACTAGATGTCTAAGGTTTCTGTCTCCATAAGATTTATGCAGCTTTGTTTCCAAGTATGTGTAAAATATATTTTCCTTTCCTTATCACCTTTTTCTTGCAATTTTTCCATATTCAGAGGTTAATCCCTTCTCTTCTACTTTTCAAGGGGAACAGAAGTCAAACATTAAAACCTAAAGAAAAGTAGCTCACATCAATTCTTGACAAGATTCTAAAAGGCATTAATGAAGACATGACTTGTGACCACTTAAAAAAAAGAGTGATCATGGAGCTTCAATATGGGTCCATTAAGAACAAGTCATACCAGATATTATTCATACTCTATTATCACACTTAAACTACTCATTTATTGAGTAGGACTGTCTCACCCACCAGGTTTTGGAGTTCTTAAAGCCAGACCTAATACACTCACTCTAAGTAATTTGACATGGATTTGATAACAATATTTTGGTGAAGATACAGGCTGATGGCCTAAGTGACAATAGAAAACAACCAGGTAGATTAGTAGCAGACTTTGTGATAGAATACGATTCTGACCCGATCCAGTCAACATTTTTCTTTGAAGTAGAGGCTTTCACTGAAATAAAGGAAAAAATTTGTAAATCACATAATGCTAAGGTGGAGAAAAACTTTAAAAAGGTAAAAACATGGTCTAACTACAAGAACAAATTTTAAAGGACAAATGTAAGGTCCTTCACTGGTTTCAAAAACTTGCATGCATACAAAAATGGCAGTTACACAGCTGAGTAACATCACATCTGAAAAAAATCAGAGAAGTTTCAAGTACAGATAGTCTAAGTCAGGGGTCCTCAAACTTTTTAAACAGGGGGCCAGTTCACTGTCCCTCAGACCGTTGGAGGGCTGGACTGCGGGCCCTGGGACAAGTCAGCTGCTAAGCAGGACAGGCAGCAGCGGCAAAAACTCCCAGCGGGCCGGATAAATGTCCTAGGCGGGCTGCATGTGGCCTGTGGGCCATAGTTTGAGGATGCCTGGTCTAAGTCAACAATGTATTATGAACCCTCTAAGCCATGTTGGGGAAAAATAGAAGCAGAATATCTAAAATGAAAAGAAGTACTAATTTTGCTTAAATCTACCCTAACTAGACCAATTCTGACGGACACAATTTGAGGTGCCATGCCTTAAAAACAGATAGATGCGGGGCAAGAAGAGAAACTGGAGCATTGGTGTGATCAGGCAAGTAAAGGAATTAGAAGAAACATCAAGTCAAAGACCTGGTGAAATTTCCTTGGAAAAAAATTATACTTTGCTACTGGTGCTATGCAGAGGACCAGAATGAGTGAGTGAATCTTTAAGACACCAGACTTAGGCTGAATTTATAGAAACAACTTTCTATTAAGACCTGCCCCCACGCCAGAATGGATTATCTCAGAAGACAGCAAGATCTCAGGTGCTGAAGGCATTTAAACACCTCCAAAGAAGATTCAAGTATGGTTCAAGAGTTAAGCATGGTTGAATGCTTATACTGGATAGGTAATTTTTCAGATCGCTTTCAATTATCTTAATTATAGAATCTGCACGATCAAAATTTTAATATAAGGAAGACGTTTTTAAGAAATCTAGTCAATGTTTAATACATCAAACTCTGCTCATGAACTTTCTCTATCACTTTTTGTAGCGTCATATTGGTCCCTCCCTACAAAAACACATATCAGACATGAAAAGTTCTTAGGATATTGTTTAGTAACAATATTGTTTAGTAACTCACCTGTCTTGTTACCGTAATTTCATCATGAACCTCAAATCCTAAAGGACTTTGCTTTTTATCAGTATTGTCAAAAGTGATTGACACTGAGGCTTTGGTAATACCAGCTTGCCCATTTTTGTAAACTAAATCTTGTAAATTAGAAGCCCGAACCTAAAATAAAAGAAGAAAAGCTTATCCACTACAAATCCCCACATTGTACAAAGCGGCACTAACAATAGATGTCTTGCTGTTGGAAAACACACCAGTGTTTCTACTAAGTAAACAAGACAGGCAGTTGTATCCCCTGGCAAGTAAAACAGGAGATATTCTATATTAAAATGGGCATCTTCCTTTATAGAACCCTTCAACACTGAATTGGTTTTCTACTCATTTCTTCACGAAAGACAATTAACAAGACTGAAGGAAAGGCAGCACCTATGATTTTCATTAGTCATCTGATCTATGCGTAGGACTTGAAAAGGCATTATTATGACACAGAAGTGAAAAAATACAAACTCTTGAACTAGACTGCATTAAAGTCTGAATATCTGAGTTTGAGTTTACTCTTAAATATCTTGAGGATAAACCTTATTGCATCCCTGTAAGCTTCTACTTTCTTGTCTAACAGATGGAAGAATAATACTTTCCTTAAAAGGTTGCTAGGAAGTATAAGATAATTCATATAAAGTACAAAAGTGCAAATGAAGAGAATATCAGCAAGTCTCCTAAGTTCAGTGAGAATTTCCTTGCTAATCTTAAATTCATATAAATCATAAAGTTTAAACTTTACCTGAGACAGGTTGGAGATACCCAGCAAAAAGCAGATGGAGTCCAATATGTTGGATTTTCCACTACCATTTAAACCAGTGATAGCATTGAAAAGGGGGTCAAAACCATTAACTTCTGTTCTCTGAGCATAGGACTTGAATCCCTCAAGAATAATTGACTTAATATGCATTTTCGATACTGTAGTGGGCCCATTAACTTCTGCTAGAAATCAAACAGGTCACAAACCAGTTCTGTACAAAACAGAAATGACATCCCTGAGTGGAATTATAAACTCAAAATCATAATAAATGTGAGAGACTAAAACAATGACATAGCAATAGAAATAAAATAGCCACTTGCCAAACTATTTTCTCTGCGGAAGACATATCTTTTACCTACTTAAAAATAGACAAGAGATAACCACTACATAAGAAGTTAAACTACTCAACTTCTAAGTCTTAACTCTTTACTTCTCCCTATTTTCCTGGCTCGCCTTCTACTTTTATCACAGTCTAGCTAACAAAGACTACTGATTATTTTACAGCCCGTTTTTCTTTGCCCAGAGCGTGCTTCTCTCCAATAGTAGCATGGCACATTCTATTGCAGTCAAGTCTTAGCACAAATGTCATCTTACTGGAGTCCTTTCTGGCCTATGTAAAAAAGCACTCAGTTTTCCAGACACTTAAAGCTGATACTAAACGGTAATTAATTGTCTATCTAATCCATTATAATACAAGTTCTCGTATGATCTTCGCCTACACCCGATGTTGTAGTCCCAAATAATGCCCAACTCCAGAGGGAGGGAAGGTCATTAAGTATTAAAGAGATGAAATGAATCTCACATTCTCCAGCTTTCTGGTTTTACTCGAGTGTTCCCTCGCCTCCGTGGCCCTTTTGTCTATCCCTCCTCTACTTACTCCTAATTGTCACCTGAGGTCCCTCTTTGCTATTCACCCTCCTCTCCCGCGCGCCCAGCTTCCTCCGGGATGCCAGGCCGGGCCCAACCAGCCACGCACACGCACCCGCCTCACCGCTGCCTCAAGCTGCCCGGATCGGGAGCACCCCAAAGCTCCTCCGGTCACAAAAGCGGAGCGAAGGCCAACCCTCCTGTCACAACCGCTACGAGCCAAACTCCGCCAAGGCCGCTACAACTCTCGGGCCACAGTCAGCGCCCGCACCGGAACTATTTATTACTTTGAATTTCGGCGCGAGCAAAGGACCCCGCAGCCTCTGCTTAATTCCTCTGTTGGTTCCTAGGTACTGCCTGACTTCAGGGTTCCAAAAGTTCCCTCCGTGCGAACGATCAAAGTGACAAGGCGACAGAAAAGAAAGTCTGGATAATAGCAGATTCCAGAATACAAGGGCGCAGGCTTGCGGACTAAAAGAGCAGGCGGTCTATTCTGACCCTGGCGTCCGGCACACTCCGGCCAGCCCCACGCCGCGGCCTCGGGGCCTCGCCGTCGCCAGCCCCGCCCCCTCAGGCCCCTTCCGCCCGCCGCCGCGGCCCGCAGACTCCGCCTTCTCCCGGGTTTGGTGGCGCTGGCTGGGCCTGGCTGGGGCTGGCTGCTGCAGTCTCAAGACGGTGCAAGCTCCGAAGGGAGAGGCTTCTTCTGAGGGTTCTGTTGTGAGAGCCTCAGAATCTTCTCGGTTGGCTCTGACTCCTAAGAAGTGGAAGCTGTATTTTGCCTGGTCCGGGGAGGCGCCGGGCTTCTGGGGACTCCAGCTCCGGTTCTGGCTCCGCCCCTCGCCGGCTTTGACCCTGGCTGGCCTGTGGGTCCCAAGTTTCCAGTCCGGAAAGGACGACTGTACTTTTTATCTAGCCGTGTTCTGGGGAGTCCAGAGGAGAATTTGCGTGGGGGGAGTGTAGTGCCAGACAGATAGGTACTCTGCGTAATGATAAGCAGGACTAACGCTTCAGAAAGTGTTTCTGGAAACCTTAGGAAAGCTAATATTTATTGAGTGCCGTGTGTCAGGCTATGTTCCCAGGGCTTTTTACATTCTGTTAACAAACCTATGAAATCTGATACTGTTTTGAATTTACGGATGATGAGTAAGATGAGTCACAGAAAGGTTAAACATCTTGTCTGTGAAGTAGAGACGCCTAGATTTGTTCTCAGGTAGCCAAGCTCTACAGCGAATGTTCTTGAGTATTATATACCATGCTTCGTATATTGAATCTGGTGTTGCTAGTAATCAGTCCTGTTAGCGATATATATTCTTAAGAAGGAAAAAGGTGCCAATTTTGCATTGGAGCATATTTGTGGTTGTGTGAATGCTTTGGGGTTGCTACAGCAAACTATCGTAGCATGGGGAGCTTATGAACCATTTATTCCTTACATTACTGGAAGCTGGAAAGTCCAAGGTCAAGGCATTGGGCGATTCACTGTTTGGAAAGGACTTTAAGGTTGATAGTGCCTTCTAGATCTGTCCTCTTGGTACCTCCTCACGTGGACAGGGCAAAGAAGATCCCTTGGGGGAGAATTTTATAAAAACACTAATGGCACTCATCATCACTCAAAAGGTCTCACTTGCTAACACTGTCACTTGGGGGGTTAAGTTATCAACACGGAATTTGAGGGGACACATTTAGTAATAACCTAGGGCATGTATTTAAAAGTTGTTTTCTTGGCCCTAGAAAATGGATTTATATAATTAAACTATCAAGAATTGGCCTGTATTTTTGAAATTCTTTTTCTACTTAAGGGAGTGAAATAAGTTTTATGGGTTTTTGTTTAGGAAAGAACTGTATTTACTCTGCTATGCTGTACACTACTGTGATGTCAACCACAGGTTGTAGCCTAACATCAGTTTAGTTAAGCAGGTATCTTTGTCTACCTTGATGTCTGTATCCCCTGCATGCTCACAGCTGTTAACTTGTATTGATTCTATTGAATCTTACACGTATATTTTAAGTTTTGTTCCTTTTTTCATCACTTCGTGAGTAAAGAATTTTAATTTGCCAGCAAATCCTCAAGTGGATTTTATCACGTTGTGAAATGAACTATTCTTCAGGATGAAAATATAGGGTAGACATAAGCCTTTTCACTTACCTTAGTAACTTGCTGGTTTATTTGTGTCAGTTGGATGGAAACTTATATATAAATGCACTTTTGTTGGATAAGGATTTCAAAGTGGTCATAAGAATGTACACGACTCCCTTCAAGACTATTTTCTGAAAATGAAAATTACTTGTAGAGATTATGTTAGTTTTAATCTTAGTACGTGCCAAAAACACCACAGTATTTCTGCTTATATACTACATGGGACAGATGGAGTGGAGCTAACTTACGACTCTGCCTTCTGAAGTTACCACAGGTTAGGGGGAGAGGACCATGTGACTAAGCCAATAATACCTCTTAGTTTGGAGCAGGGAGAGAGACTAGGGTAGGTGCAGTATAAATAGAGGACTGTACTTTCATCACTATGGATTAAAATCTTTTGAAGGCTTCAACACAAATGGTGATTCAAACAGTAATCCTGCAGCAAGTGGAGTCTTAGTGTTACGTGGGAAGCATCAGTACCAGCAAGGACACAGGTAAACTCATAAAGCAGGACCTGGCCTTCAACTCTTCTAGGGTATACTTTTCTAATTTTAGAGTGCTTAAGTTACTAGCTCTTAACAGAGACCTGAGTGAATCTTTCTCTGGAACTTGGGACAGTAGAAAAAAAGAAAGTACTTTACCCTTACTGCAGAAATAATGAAGGGGTGATTCATTTTTATTGAGAGACTATTTTACGTTCAAAGGGATGAATTGATAATCACATGAAGTTTATATATATTTTTTAGCTCCTCCCCCCACACCTGAAGTCTATATTTTTAAATTGTATTGAGTAGCAGCACTCTCTGAAAACAGTCATGTGACCAACCACCACATGACATTTTGTCAACAATGGCCTGCATTATGCAACTGTGATCTCTTAATATTATAATGGAGCTGAGAAATTCCCGTTGCCTGGTGATGTCATAATGTAATCCAATGCATTGTCTTTTCCATATTTAGGTACACCAATACTTAACCATCATTATATAGTTAACTACGGTGTTCAGTACAGAAATATGTTGTACAGGTCTGTAGCCTAGGAGCCCAGGTTTGTGTATGTGCACTACGATCATCTTACAACAATGGAATTTCCCAACAACACATTTCTCAGAATGTATCCCATTTTTAAGTGACACATGACTATTTTATTTCCTCAACTGTTAGCAGAATTTCTCTACTGGATCCTCGGTCTCAGAAACTCGAAGAATGAATTCACAAACTGGCATGAGTAAGCAACAGGACATTTTATTAGAGATAAGAGATTGGAAAGAATGAAGCCTCTAGCACAGTGGAGGGTGTCCCAAGTGTCCAGCCTATTTTGTCCCTCTGTCTAGGAGTTTATATGCAGCTTTTTCTACCCTGCAGGCAGGGGGATTTGAGGAAAGGAATATAAGTCTGAAATATGTCAACTCCTGGCACCAGAGGCCTGTGGGCAGAAGTTAATTTTGAAACTGTCGTGTAGGAATGTGTTCTTTAAAAAATTTAGGGCATGCTACTCTTCCTCAGGAGTGATGGCTTAGATGGAACATGGACCAAACAGATAACGAGCCTGCTTGAGCCCGGAAAATGGGGCCTGCGTTCAGGTGAAGAGACCTGCATCCCCACCATTTTATTTGTACTGTGTTTCATCAAATATAACCTGTCTGGCAAACTTGGAAAGAAACATAGCTAAGCATAATTTAAAATAGGGAATAGAAAAGGAGGAGAGTATACTCACCTATAGGATTTAATTAGACCCATTCATTTTCATTTCAGTGATAATATTGTTTTTAAAACTGCATGTTCTGTTTGGTTCTTTGTGAAATCTGCCTATTTCATTATGTTTTCTAGTATTTTACCTCTTCAAGTTCATCTTTGTTTCCCCTTCTTTCCTGATTGTGCTGTTATTTCTAGCCTTTGAGTTCTTTTTGTTTACAGACTTTGTTGGCTCTTACTCAGTGATTTATTTCCTCACGTGCTCTCCTTGCTCTCCTTCAGTGGGATCGTTTTGTTAATGCGAATCTGTTATGCCCCATGTTGTGAAATCGTCCCTTCATAGCCACTACTCATTTGCTTCTGCAAGCATACTTTGGCCCTTAAAGATTCTGAAGCACTTTTAAATGATAATTTCTCAGTTTGTGGTTCCTGAATTATGCAGATACTGTAAATTTATATCTGTTGGAAGACTGAAGTTTTGATTTTTCATAGGTAACTTGTGGTTTTTTCTTCCTTCCAAAGCCTTGGACAAAGAACAAACTTCCTTGCCTCCCTATCCTGCTAACTAGTAGGTAGCATTTTTTTCCCAGTCCTGTGGTTGACAGTTACCTTAAGTCTACAGGTTTTATTTAAGAACCTAGTTCCAGCTCCTCTGCCTCACTGAAGCTCAAGGCCTTATGCTTGGACATTAAAATGCAGCTACTGGGTCTTAGGGCGCATAGCCAAGCATAAAATGTTGAAGGGCTACCATGGTGTCAGTTCTCTCAGCTCTTCAGTTTTTCAGTTTGCTTCCGGTACTGACAATTTCCTTTTTGTTGTTTTATATTCTATATTCAAGGCAGCTTGTCCTAAAACCTACAATTACTTCTCTAAATAAACCTAGTACTAGCTCTTAAGAAAATATTTCTATACCACTCATAAAATTCAGGCTGTCCTTACTGTTTCTTATTTGTTCTTTCAGTTTTTCTAGCTATCATTTGCTTTTATCACTTCTATGCTGGTTTTTGCTAAAGTTAGCCATCATCTCTCTCTTGCTTCATCATACCCCTTCCTTTAGTGGGATGATTATTAGTTCTTCATAAAATGTTATTCTCATTTTATCATTTTCCCTGTAATCGTAGTCCCTTACTTCTTACTTCAAATCTATATCTGCCTAATTCTCCAATTGGTTGCTTTTTATTACCAAATTCAGTCCTTACTAGATCCAAACAGACTCTTCACTTTCAGATATTTTCCCCGCATGATCTGCTTCTGCAATTATCCCCTCTACGTTACCAGTGCTTCCACTTTAGATTCTAACTTTCTTTCCTACTTCAACAAGACTTGTTAGCCACTACGGTCTTCCCTCTTTAAGAATTTTAAGAATACGTATGTTTCTGAATAAAAGATATGATGTCCTTCTGTATAAACCTTTGGTGAGAATTGCCCACGGAATGAATTCTAACCTTAAGGTAGCATGCCTAGCCTTTATTAAGTTCTCTGCCTACTGCTGCTTTCTTTCTTATGTTGCAGTGCCTTTGTTGTTCACGACTGGGATCCAAGAACCAGCCAATGATGAAAGCACTCAAAAAAAACTTTATCATG